AAATGCACATATCATTCAAATAGATGTACACAAACACCCGACAAACAGATGTGCATAATACAAATAATGCATGTCAACCCCCCCCCCCCAGCCCAGCACTTCACTTTTACGACACCCCCAACCTACTTCTCGCCTCATTGTGCTGACCGACTTGACTTTGAGACCCTCAGCTTTGTCACTCACTCTTGCCTCGGGGATACGTGATGATTAATACAAAGATAACATAGAAAGAGATATTTTACTCAATACGTCCTCTAAATATAATTTGTGCATTCATACTCTTAACAATTTTCTCCAATCTCCTATAAATAAGATTAATGTCCAAGTGTGTTCACGGTATCATTGATATATATATATATATATATATATATATATATATATATATATATATATACATATATATATATATATATATATATATATATATATATATATATATATATATATATATATATATATATATATATATAGCTTTGCCCGTAGAAAATAATAATAGTAATGAATTATGTAATCCAATATATTCTTTAAATCAATCACACAGGACACATTAACTTCATATTATTTATTAAGTTTGAAAGTTCAAGTATTTGACTTTTTACATCAGAAATTTCCCTAACTGGTTTTAACATCTGGATAATGATAGTTGATTCATCGAGGTTGTATGATTTCCTCGGCAAGTGTTAAACTCAAATATACGCGTGGTCTGAAATGTGTGGTCTTACTAAATATACTGTTAACATTTGTTGTGTGCCTGCATTGTAGAATCTTGGTATTCATGGGGAACTATACTCCCACAGTATACCTGCATTGTCTATATACATACTGAACTGTATACTGTACAGGGTACACATGCATTGTCTATATACTGTATATGCCAAACCAATTGTAAACTTGTAAGATGATTTCACTGATTATTATTATTATTATTATTATTATTAATGAGGGTATGAGTAGGAAATTCTCAATTGACCGGGCACGTATGAATTCTCAACCAACATGTATAACTTTTACATGTCGACAATTGACTAAATATTACAATTAAATTCATCATACACCTAAAATTATTTATTTTGTTTACTATATAATTAATTAAGGAATCCGCAAAGAATAATGTATATATAATTGTTCTTATACGTTAAATTCAACATTCAAAGGGGAACCATCCACTTAGTTAATGACGTCACGAGCCAGTTCTGGCGCCATTTTCTCCTTCAATACGTCTACACATATCAGCAAACATCGCCTCTACATTATCTCATAGACTTCCGATTCTACCCCAAACTCACAGCTGAGACATTACCAAAGAATTTAGGCCGCCTGAAACTTATGGTAGGGATAGGTACAATGAAATTAGGAGATATAAGTGACGAGTTTTTTCTTTTGATGGAAAATCTCCACTTCATCTACCCAATGGCCAATACTAATAGTCATACTCACAGATGATCTTCTGGAAGAGGCTCACGCCTGTGAGTCCAGCTCAATAGCCTCTTCTCTACTCAGACGGTGGCTGTGTGTGGCGGATATTTGTGCCCTATAATTATATACTTGTTAATTTTTCCAGTATTTACCTAATTTTGCTTCAAACTTTTCCACCATCTCCACATTCACTACTCACTCAGGTAACCCATTCCAGTTGTTGACAACCCTACTCGTGAACGAGTGTCTTCTGAGATTTAGCCTCGCTCTTGTTTTGTAGATCATCTTTGTGTTCCCCCGGGTAGTGTCAGCCTCCCTCAGCTGGAACATTCCTGCTGTACATATATGCCACACACTATCTTGTATGTTTCCACTTGGTCCCCACGAGATCTTCTGTACGCCAGTGTCGGTAACTGTAATTTCCTTAGTCTTTCATCATAAGATAAATCCTTGATCTGTGGTACTAATTTGGTAGCCCTCCTCTGTACATTCTCTACTGCTTCAATATCCTTAATGAGATATGGGCACCAAATATGATTAGCATACTCAAGGTGTGGCCTAACCAGAGCAGTGTACAGAGCCTTGAATATAGGTGCATCCAGATGAACAAAAGTTCTTCTAATAATGCCCACTATTTTATTAGCCTTGTTGATTTTCTCAGCTAGATGGTCAGAAAACGTCAGCTTATCATCGATGACTACCCCTATATCCTTCTCTACAGTGGTCTTCTTGATCGTGGTGTACATATGATATCCCTGGTCAGCAACTTTTGTTCTTCCTATCCTCATGTATTCACTTTTTTCTGGGTGAAAGTTCAGCATCCACTTCTCAGTCCAACCCCTGATCCCATCCAGGTCCTCCTGCAGCATGTCACAAACCTCATCTCGTTCTATTTTCCTAAAAATCTTTGTCATCCGCATATAGATATACCTCACTGTCGTGTTTAATTGCCTCAGGCAGGTCATTGATAAAAAGGACAAACAGCAGGGGGCCGAGGACAGAACCCTGAGGGACGCCACTAGTGACCTCTCTCCAGTCAGATACTTCTCCATTTACCACAACCCTCTGTTTTCTCATAGTTAAAAAATTCCTTACCCAATCAAGATATTTTCCATCAATGCGATAACTAGATACTTTTTCTAATAGTCTTTTGTGGGGTACTCTATCAAAAGCCTTCATGAAGTCACAATACACTATGTCCACAGCCTGACTGTCATCGATAATTTCCGTCCACCTGTCTAGTACCCTAATCAACTGTAGGACTGTTGACCTGCCGGAAATGAAGCCAAACTGTTTATCTTCTTAGGGACACACTCGTCAATGACTGCCTGGAATTTTCCTTTGAACTTATTCCACTTACTTTCAATATCTGGTTCCAATGATAAGTATTGGATCCAGTCCATCGTAAGCCTTTGCTTCTTCAGTAGGTAATCTGCTTTTTCATACATGTACACTTGTTTTTTACTTTTGTCTTCCATCTCCTGTATGTCACAATGGAAATAAATACAGGCATGGTCACTCTTTCCCAGTGGACTCTCCAGCTTGATATCTCCTACTATAGATTCTTCGTTACTGAACAACAGGTCAAGGGTATTGCCTGTGCTGTCTCCTCTTATTCTGGTTTATTGACTAGTGTGTGTGTGTGTGTGTGTCCACTTCTGTTGCTTTAAAAAAAAAACGCGTTTTAACATTACAAAATATACCCCTAATCACAACTATTCCGTTAATAAACATTTTCCTGAATATTGTCGACAAGGAGAAAGACCTTGACGTTGTGATATATCAATCACTGAAGGCGGAACAACGAGTGGTGGCAGCAGTAAGGAAAAACAAACCAAGACTAAAGAAAAGTCGTATCTTCAAATACGAAGTTAAGAAAATGTTCCTTCATAAGTCACATACATCCCCATCTGGACTACTGTATAGGGGCAGGGAAACCTTACCTCCAGAAAGACTTACATCCCTAGTAAAGGTGCAACACAGACTGACTAAGATGATTACAGAACTATTATCTCCATTATCCGGGTAGACTTAAGACTAACAACTCTCCAGACGAGACACAGTAGGGCAGATCTCAGAGAGACATTCACAGTCTTGAGAGTGATGGACAACGTGAACCCAGACCATTATATGTGATGTCACGCACCACCAACAAGAGGGGTACAAGCTCCCCAACATGTCCTGCTGAACGAACATAAGGAAATACTTCTGCACACAGAGGCTGGTAGACCTTGACAAAACTATCAAGAACAATGGAAGAATCCTTTACTAGTTACTGGTCTCCTCCCCGGCATGGCCACCTCTAGTTTGAGTGGCCATAAGGTAAACAGGGTAATGTAACGTAAATTTAAATTCGTAAATTATCTTGCCTCGATCCATTTGTTCCTGCCCTTCTATAGTTTCTTTACCCTTTAATTCAACCCACAGTAGACATTTCAAGTTAATAATTAATTAATTTTTTTGGTAAAAGAGAAATAAGTTTGACAGTCGCTTATAGTATTTTCATCTGTTCTCTCAAGTTATTATCGTTGTTAATTTACATAATTTGAATGGATATTTACTATATTCCCCACATTAAAATAAAATACTGTATACAATTTCTGGATAACGCCACACAAAATAAATTTTCGTTATAATCTGCACCCTAGGTCAACAATGGAGACTTACCTTATGATGAAGTGTAGTGTAAATTAAGGCACAAGGGGGCATATGTTGTAATCAAATAATATAATTAATGACTATATTGTATTAATTATATTCGACATATTTTTACCCTACAGTCAGTGGGGGCGGTTTACTTAAAGGACTCTGTGCTAATTGGTTGGATTTGTTTTTTTTTGTCCGCCACAGCATCGTCGGCCTTAATGTCGACTGATGTCAAACTTCTGAAGACTTGAAACAATGGTCTGTGCAATAAATCAATATTGGGTCTTAAGGTAACCAGCCTTCAGGAGTGATTATGAAGGTTTGTCCTCCACAAGCCATTTTCTGTAGCAACCATTGTCCTTGATTTATTTTCTTTTGACTATATGGATAACTTTGGTAAAGGTCTCAGATAGTACCACATTGATAATATTTTTGTTTTCCATTACTATTTTCACTGATATGTTTGATTTCATACATTAAGGGCAAATCCATGGGGGGGGGGGATTATTTACACATACTATGAAGCAACAATAAGGCCACTGCCTGTGTGTTCCTCATCTTCCAGTGAATGAAAACAACCCATCACTGCACTCTGTCTGAATTTGGCAAGACTGGACATAAGTTTAGCAATACTCAGTGGCCTGTTCCTGATAAATTAAAACAAATCAGTGATTTGTTTACATTGTATTAAACTGTGGGGGAGTGTGTAGAGGTAGTGTGACCTATTTATTACCTCACGAGTAAATTTAAAATAATTTTTCATTACACCTTTTATCAGATTTGTATTTTATGCATTACAACAAACATTTGTGAAAGTCCCAATGAAATAATATCAAGGATGTGGAATATTTGTAGGCCTTTATCAAAACATTTTCATTAAATTGTGTAATACCTGTATCAATATTCAATGGACATAATTTTTAATCCACTGTACTTACCTGAATCTGGGACCGTTCTTCATTCGAGATGCCACGGGACTGAAGGGTAACGATAAGGGTGATCTTTGACTCCACCCACACACGCACCTCCTCCTGCACTGTGACAAACCTGCTCCACAACTCTAAGGCAGTCTCATACCGCAGGATCACCTGATGGAGAGTGAAAGAATGCTTTTTCAGCACCATGACCAAGACAGCCACCCATGACAACTTGTACCCATCCCAAATCCCATCAAATATAAGCACATCCTTTATTACATCGTGTGGAACATAATAATATACTTTACAAATACAGTACAGCATACAGTTTTATTAATTCCAAAATATCTTTTCACCTAATAACCAAGTAACCTACTGTCTCTTGGTTTTCTTAATACAGAAAACAAAGGTGTGATTATCTTACCGATTCAAGTCGCTGTGAAACACTATTCCAGCGTATCTGCTGAGTCTCCACGCAGTGAGTCTTCTCTACATAGACTGCTTCAGTCTTCAGTATCTCCAACAGAGTTTCATTGGTGGCCATAGATCCCTGGAGGTTTTGAAGCTCTTCTACATGTTTCCTGAGTGCAGCCCTATTGACAGAGGGCAAGTCCAAGGCACTCTCAAGAAGATATTCAACCTCTTGTAGGAAGCTGTCTACTGCATCAGAAGAAGACATGAATTTTTGCCACATTTCAAGACGATTCTTCAAGTTGGAGCGAGTCTCCTTAATGTTCTCTGCAACTGCTTCAAGTCGCTCTTGGAGAGCTACAACCTGTGCTGATAATTCTTCCAGATGACATGGGTGATGGGGGTCTTTACTTAAAGTTTCCATGCACTGTTTTACCTTGGTGACATCTTCTTCAGTACGACCTAAACTATCATATATTGTCTGACAGGAATGCAGGGCAGCCTTGAGAATTTGTTCACCTTCTTTATCTACTGCCTGACATCTCTCCAGTGTGCTCTCAAGATGTGATACGGTGAGAGAGATCCGCTCCACCCGGCTCACTGTCTTTTGAACATGATCCAAGGTGTATTCCAAAGATGCAATGCGCTGCTGGATGGTGCAAATCAGCTCTTGGCAAGTGAGTGACAATTTACCGACGGTGTCCAACAGATCTTCATCTTGATCTTCCTCGGCACTTGAAACTTGTGTTAAATGATCTAAGTTTTCTTTACTATTCAAAACCTTGATGCGGAGGACCTTGTAATTCTCCGATATATCTCTGAGTTGTTGGATTGATTTTACATTAGTATCTATGTTCTGGAGGTCAACTTCAATACCAGAGAGGGTGTCTTGAGTCTCTGCCAGCAGTTGTGGGACAGGAACTACCTGGATTTGAATCCTGTGTAGTTCCTTTTCCTTCTGCTGAAGAAGCTCCTCAAGCTCACCCCACTCAACCTTGAATTGTGAGAGGAAGTGTCGCTGATTTGTTTCGTCTGTCATGTTCACCAAGCCCACTGACTTGTCAAAGTGGTTCATACATTCATTAAGCATAACGCTCTGACTGTCAAACTGAGCCTTGAGATTCTGTGAAAGGAGACAAAAAAGCCAATTATACTGTATCCCAGGCAAAAAACATTGAAGAGCAACTACAATAAGTACTGTACCTACTAGCAAACTTAAGAGAGATAGGTTTGTGAAGAACATGGCTAAATACAATTACACTATACTGTATAGAGCACTCTACAAAGTACCTGTACATACCAAAATATGTGAAAACTATTAAATATCTCAATGGTATTTTTCTTCTACAATTATAAAATAAGCATGTGAAAAAATATCAATGTTGACTATCAATGCACTACACTTAAATGTTTCTTGAGGTATCCTACAGTACTCAGGTTTAACAATATGCTTTTTTAATTTATTTTTTTTACACAAATCACCATTCATGCATTTGAATAATTGATTAACACAATCAACCAGTCTAGTGCACAGTACTTCCAAGTTTTCAACATTTAAAGCAATAAGAAACATTTTACAATTAATACAGATATCAAGAGTCAAGATGTTAGAAGATTGGCTTCAAATTATAATTACCGTTTATACACCAAAGTAACAACATACCCAAATTTGATTGTACTGCTCTTTCAATTTTTCTTGATCTTGTGGTGTCAGGTCAATATTCTCTAGTGAGGTTTTGGCCTGAGAGCACCACTCCTGTAGTTTGTCCATCTGGATCTGGTAGGTCGACCAGTGGACATGCAACTCCTCCAGCCGCTCCAACATGCGACTGACTTCCTGACGTAGCCCCGTGGTCTGCTGGTGGTGTGACGTCACGCGTGTCTCCAGGTGAGTGCAAGTGATGGCGTCTCCCACTTTGCGGGCCATCTCCACCAGGTGACCCACTTGAGCTTCGTGCGTCACGCTCTCCACCAACAGGTCCTGCACCATCGCCACACACACACACACACACGTTAGTCACGCCAAGGGTTAGGCAGCCCCCTCCCACGGCTCAGGGGCCAGACAAGGTAATACACCCTCTCTCACCCATGACCCAGATGGGATAGCAACCTTCATGCCCATTCTAATGCTACAAAAGCTAATATAAATGACTAGATAGACACATATTCTACTGAGAGAAGTACTATTAAAATATATAGTAAGCTACAGTATATAACAGACTCAAAACATACCACGCTACTTTAATTCAATACTATATTATTATGCCTGGGAAGTATGAAAAACCGTCTTACAATAAGCCTAAACTTTAAGTGATTAAGTTGAATTGGTTATAAGTGAAGGGATTAAGTTGAAGTAGGATTATATGGTATAGAATATAAAATTATACAGGTGGGAGAAATCATAATACAGGTATGTACACAGGCTCTTGATGCATGTACAGTCAACCAAAGATGCATCGACCCCAACCTGGCTCTTGTACTTGTAACTACCTGGTAATACTTGGTGATCCGTGGGGCGTTGGTGCAGGGATACCGCATGTCATTATTGTGTCAGTTGACTCTACTACACAGTGTGAGCCCTCTTAACTTTGTCAAATTATATTAAATAATGATCACATTGTAAAGAGAATTACTTCCTTCATGAAACACTCAAGATTAAATGTGGAACATGAATTCTTGAAATTTGATGTGGGAATATTATGGCAGCCCTAGATTTGGTGGAGTTGCCAATTCATTAATGTAATTTTCTTCATTATTTAAGCAAATATACAAATATTTGAAAACTTCTCATGATCTTAAATAACAATGAATAGTTCATGAATATAAAAATGCTACCTCTGGATTGTCTAATATTTATCTTGACAGTGCCACAGCAAAAAACAGATCCACCAATCACATTCCCCATTACATACAGCCTTACTTCAAGTATTGCCAAGCAAAATTGCCAGAACGAGAGCTAGGGTACGGTCGATGCATGTTTGGTTGACTGTACCTCAAGCTTATTTTGTCTGAGTAAGGATAATGTGATAGCAATAATATCAAATCCTACTTTTTTATTATCCTGTTTTCTATGAATATACTGATGGGCAATTTGCACTCACACATTAATAATGACATCAAGTAATTTTTTCTCAAGCAGTGTGGAAAATGGCTGTAAAACTTTGATGATGAAGATAACCTATCCCAAGGTATTTTGAGGAAATTATGTCCTTTCTACTTACAAGAAACTTTAATGGAGCAGCTTTAAGAATTGAAAGTAAGTCATTCATTCTTGCTCTCTTATTTTCTCTTAAGTAATGCTGAAGAAATATTATTGTGAAACAGGAAGCTTTCTTTATTCTCAACTACCGTAATATAAATTAACACTGATATTTACTGTTCAGTATATTAGCCACTGTTTAAGGTTAGGGGGGTGCAGAGTAATAACTTGTACTGTACAGCAATTCATAAACTACAGAATAGCTTATCTGTAGTTTCTTTTCTAACTACAATAATTCTTTGCACAAGTTTCACTTGCTTACGATAGATGTACCTTTCAATTTCTAATGCAACTACAGTATATACAAATACTGTAGTGTATATGAATACTTTGGCAAATTTCTAAAGGGGTCTATAGTAGTACAGTATTTAGCAATGCAACCAAAAACACCCCCCATCTTTACAAAAGGCCTCGCAGGGTGTGTAATTGTCAGAGAACACTAACCTTCAGTTGTGCCTTCGACCTTGTGCATGCAATCATAATTTTATACACTAAACATCCTCAGGTGATGTTATAAGAGCCTACCAAGTTTCACTGAAACATCTTAACCATTTGCAAAGCTACACAGTTTACATGAAATTATTGACATACTGTACAAGGTATACTATATTGTTGGGTTCCCTGTGATGTTGGGTCTCGTTAAAATATGAAATAAAACTGCTACCAATATATAGTACAGTATATAATTCATTCGGGTATGCAAGCAGTTGGCTTCAATCCTCCACAAAAGCACCTCCTCACTCCTCAGCCTGTCTCATATTAATGGTTCTCTAGCAAAATGGAAAGACAACATCACTATTGGTTTGTCAGTCTGAAACTGTACATCATCTTCCATATATTGATATCTTCCTCTTTAAAAAAATTCTTTATACTATCATCTATATTTAGTGTTTGTCTTTGCTACCCAACAACATTACCTTTGATGTATGTTCTTTAATATTCTTTGGAGGCAATCCTTACTCAGTTCGCAATTTTTTTTTGTTAAGAGCATGAGGGTAATGTCTACTTGATACATGTGATGGCCAAACCAACATGCAATGTTTGGATTGGGTAATTAACTCATGATGTAGTCAGTAATAGGGCTTTTGGAGAAGAGTCTTTGTATAATGTTATATGTGAAGAAAAAAATAGTGTGCATACTATAATAGGACAAACAGTTACACACTCTTAATGTCGGAGGTGCTTTAACTTGCGTGACAATACAGGGGTATTAATAAACTCATAGGGAAGGAGGGCAGAGAAAATATTTTGTCCCAACAACAAGTGAGCTAATATCACAATCACAATGCAAAAATAAGAATTCCCTATCGTGAAACAAGCATGCCGCCTGTCCCTTACCCCCGAGGTGAACCCTATACGGCAGGCAAATGAGTGATCATGTATGTATCGTCATCAGTTTCCAAATGTAACTTTTTTCAATGATGATATAGATTGTCATTCGTCCGCAAAAGTGTGATAGAATTAATGAGCAATCTTGTACTTTTATGTAATATTGTATGGTATATAAATCTTGACTTTTCATATAAATTATAACATGATATTCCATTAGTTTAAGAACCTATCATGAATTTGTATACTTCTCAAACAACTTAAATCAGTTTTACAGCAAAGTGAGTTAATCTACTACTAAAATGCCCAGAAAATTACCAACCAATTATTAAATTTCCACATATACAATACTACAGTACAGTATAGTATAATTCTCCCACTCAAATAAACCCCTTAGTCTCAATCACTCCAAATGAAAGTAATGTCCAAGTAAATCTATTTGTTTATTTTGTAGGATTATAAGTCATCCACCTTGCCTTCATCCCTAATGGAAATGCTGTCATATCAGCCTTTACTGTCTTTCTTGGGCTATCCTTCATTGAATTAATGTACCCTGTCCTGTTTACTTGTTCATATACAGAGGGCCCCCCAAGTTCGTGGATTTTTATTTCGCGGTCCTCTATTATTCGCGGATGACACCCTGGATGTACCCAAGAATGTCTGTGCCAGCATTTATGCAGCTGGGACAGGGAGCCGAGCCATTCTTTCTGGAGACAGTAATTTCCTTTACCTGTATTGTAAATATGTGTGTGTGTGTGAAGATACACACACATAAAACACATAGTACAAATAAATAATAATTGGAAAATGCTCTAAAAAATAATCAGAAACAAATTTATTAAAAATGGGACAGTCTACCCTAAAGTCTGTGCTTAATTACTTTATTAATAAAGCACAGACTTAAGAGCAGACTCACATTTTTAATAAATTTGTTTCTGGTTATAAGTGAGAGCATTTTCCAATTATTATTTATTTGTATGTGTTTCATGTGTGTGTGTCTACACACACACACACACACACACACACACACACATATACAATACAGGTAAAAGAAATAATTGTCCTTAGGGGAAAAACATAAAGGGAATATACATTTCTTTGTACACAAGTAAAAATGTACCCCCAGGTCCGCAATGTTATTCACGGCCATTTTGAGAACCTAACCCCTGCGGATTTGGGGGGCCCCTGTACCTACACAGAGTATAGTACCAACAGTATACATACTAAATTCTGTGTGAGTTTGTTTAAAAAAAAATACTTAAAATCAATCAATCAATAAAGAAAAGAATGAGAAGGAAGCATCAGTTATTACACCCTTTATATGTTGTATACTGTATTACATGACTCATACTGTGGCTCATAGATGCTGTACTGTACTGTACTAGGGAGACCAATATGCCATTTCAGGATTACAATAATGTTGTCTAATGAAATATTGGGAAGAATTCTTAAATGTTCCTTATACTGTATTAAATATTGTCATTATAAATTATTTAATTCTTTGTAACAACTGCAACAGCATTTTGAATTTAAAACATAAATTTGTCTTATGGTTCAAATTTCAAAACTGAAATAACCATGGCTGTGTTTTGATTATATTTTTGAGGGTTTGTGTTCCTTCTTGGGTTGTAAATTCTGAAATAATCGATACCGTAAAACTAAGGAACTACTGTGCTGTACATACTTCCCTTGCCCAGTAAACAGTTCTTAACAAGTTTAAAATACTGCAGGTATTTTAAGACACCCATGGCTGTCTGTCAATTAAATTTCTGGATACATTTGTCTCATATTCTTGGCCACCATCTTCAACTTTCTATACTGTACAGTATGTTAATTCTGATGAACCGCATACTGTACTGTGTACAAAAACTGCTACAATGCAAGTACAGTACAGTATAAAAAAAATCTTAATTATTTTTCGTAAAAATTATTGATATAAATGTGACATAATATCAATCGAGCATAAAAAAAACTTTTGTTTATCTTCTAAGCACAAGTTAAAAATTACTGATAAGTAATATCTTTGTTAACTGGAATCCCTCTTAACTGGAACTCTATGATAGCCGGAATTGAATTTTTTTCAGAAAATTATTCCCTTTTCCGGCTTTGGGAAAGATTTTCCAAGGGGCACATTTTTTGGAAAGTTCTGAGAAAATTTTTCCAGTAGACTGTACCCGGGAAATTCATGGGATGGGAATTTTTCCCCTGGGTTTGAAAGATGAAAATCAGGCACATTTTCCGGAAATTCCAAGAAAAATTTTTCCGGTACTCGGAAAATTCTGGGGATGGAATTTTGTTCTGGCTTTGACAGATGATATAAGGCATCATTCTTAAAAACTCCGGTAACCGGAAAAATTTGGGTGATGAGGGATTTCTTTGCGTTTTCAAGAGATAATGTTATGTACAATTTCTGGAACTTCCGAGAAAAGTTTCCCGGTACACCCAGAAAATTCCGGGGATAGGGAATTTTTTTCCGGTTTTGAGAGTCGTCTCGTTACCCGGAAATCTCTCTTATTCCTGGAAGTGCTCTGAACCAATTGCTTAGGCAAACAGATATCATTACTGTACTGTATTAATTTAAAACAAAGTCTATCAAGCTTTACCAAAATCGGTTAAAACAAATCTTTTGAGCATCAGTGTAAATTATTGATATAATTGTGGAAACAAATTTATCAAGCCTTTCGAATTACTTATTCTCTTTAGGTTCCTTAACAGATCTGCTTTGCATATCACTGTTAGATTAACTGTACACTACTAATATTTTCAAACTTTCAAGCTACCAGTACAGTAAAAAATAATTCTTCACTAAAATATTAAATAACAAGTAAAAATCTATTTAGTGAGTTATAAAATCAGAAGGACTTTAATAAAAAGAAAAAAATTATTTTTGTAAATTGTAAATTTGATTTTGGTTTTGAAATACAGTACCAGGGGTTTATAGCCAGCAACAGAGATAATCCATTTCATTATATACTGTACAGTTTGAGTAATTTACCGAGTGGTGCACAAGAGTTCAACTGGCAATGCAAATTTCTTTCTCGATTTAAAGATGAAGTCTGTAATGTATTAAATAATTTTATATCCATAAGGTGCCATCACTCAGAATTAAATATGGTACAATATATAGATAGTACAGAACCATATGAACAGTTGAGGCACCATATTGTCCAGAGCCAATCACTTACCGGTATGCCAGCCAGGAACCATAAAGATTAACATACACAAACATGAGGTAGAGTGTATTTTTCATTTTGATAATTGCACATCTGTCTGAACATTCAAGTAAAGTTCCCTTTAAAGTAATGATCAAAGCACAAGTCAAATTTAACTTTTTTGCAATTTATTTATAGGCAAAGCATGTGCTGAACTTAAAAGTACTGTACAGAACACACTATTCCACTTACTATGAGTCAGTTAATATTAGAAAATTATTGATCAAGTGTAAAGACTTCTCAAGCTTTGATAAAAATAGCTCCTCAGTTGTAAAGAGGCATGTTATAATACTGGTGTTACTGACTTAATGTTTACAAACCTGGCATTCCTGAAACAGGCAGATTAGGAATACATATTATATAACTGTAATACATTTATATTAATATTTTTAGTACTGTAACATAATGAGTTGAAAGAACATTTAGAGAATTAATTATTAATGATCAATACAGATGTTTGTTTGTCTTTTGACTGTCATAAACAGAGCATTTTATGGTTATTCTCACAGTAGTGTAGAAATGAAGGTAATGTACAACAAAATAACACAAGAGGAATGTCATAAACTTGTAGTAAGAATAAATGAGAGCAAGTGAAGGAAAAGTTATGTGAGTTAGTTGGCTCTTAATTCTGGTCACCCATCATGAATGTGGGCAATGTCTTACAAGAGTGAGAAATATATCCGCAACACTTAGATTATGACAGTCATTAGATGCATAATCACAGTATAGCTGCAGTATAATACGATGTACATGTCTACATTATGTTGGAGTTAAATACAAGAATAAGAAACTATTAGATACATAATAATATTATCTTCACTACTTAGTAGAAACTAACAACTCACTACTAACCTTGCAAGCATTTGTGTTGTCTTCATATGTGTCAGCAGACACAATATGAAGCTGAGTAACCTGTTCTGAGGCTGATACTGTCCAGGCTTCTTCCTCCTTCAACTGGTTGAGAAGACGCATCCATTCTGCCTCAAGGATAGAAAGCTGGTGGTTGCGCTGCGTGGCCTTGTCCAACAATCTTGAAGCCCTCGAGTAGGAGCGAGAGTACAATTGCTGGTAATGAACACGAGAACTCGGTTCCAGGGCAGTGTCTAGAGATTCTAACACTTTCTGGCACTGACGGAGGGACAGGAAAAGTTTCTTGTGCTTGGTGATAGTATCAATCAAGTGACTGTGATCACGAGCGACCACTCTTGCTTCCAAAATTGTTTCTGCCATTTCAATAAGATGTGTGAGTTCCATGAGTGTTTCCTCATACTCAGTGGTAGATGTTGTGAGTCGTAGGTGGTGGTCCAACTCCTTTTCAACAGAGTCATGAACTTCACAGAGCTCGGTCTGAATGGAAGCCAGCTCATCACCAATGTGCCGACCAGGGGGATGCCCGAGATCGTGCGAACTAAGCAGTAACTGTGTGATGCGATCGCGTGTGTCTTCATTAGTCGCAAGAAGCAATTCCAGTTTTGTAAGCTTTTCCTCTGGTAACATTTGGGTCATCACCAATGTGCCGACCAGGGGGATGCCCGAGATCGTGCGAACTAAGCAGTAACTGTGTGATGCGATCGCGTGTGTCTTCATTAGTCGCAAGAAGCAATTCCAGTTTTGTAAGCTTTTCCTCTGGTAACATTTGGGTCTCCTGAATATGACCTAGTTGAGTCTTAAGCTGAGATATTTCTTTCTCAGCATCATTTACGGCCGCAAGATACTGTGAATAACGTTCTTCCACCTTGGCAAGATCTTCTTGTTCATTCTGTCGCATTTTTTCTACATGGATAACCTGTTGACGCAAATATTTCACCGTTTCTATTATAGTTATAACAGTTTCTTCACTTAAAATCTCTACAGCAGACTGTGTTACACTTTCAAGTACAGTTAGCTTTTCCTCCACAATGTGAAGCTCAGTGCGCAGGTATTCATACTGTCTCGTCCTCTCATCAATGTCTTCTGTTTTTCTGATTGCATAGATTCTGTACTCTATAGTTTCTAACCATGTATTCACCGTTTCAACGATTGAAATAATTACTCTCTGTACCACAACAACTTCTTTCTTTTTTATGGCAGACTGAAGTACCTTTAAACTTGTATCAATTTGGTCCTCCTGTTCTTTACCTGAAGGCTGAGTGGATGGGGCTAACATCAGTGGTGTAGTGGGAGGTATGAGAGCTGCTTGATCTCTCAAATTCTGACGACGCTTGAGAAGGGTATATATGGTCTGCAACTCCTGAGTAATCACTAGCTCCTCAACCAATGGTTGCTGTTCTCCAACACTCTCTTTTTCTATTAATGCTACTTGTAAATCTTTAATAGTTTCAGAATCACCAGATGGCAGTGACTCTTGTTCTCCCTCACCCTCGAGTTTCTCGGGTGAGGGTGATGCACTCCGAGGCCTTTCTTCAGGCGGCCCAGCTGTGTGTTCATCAATCTGTTCATCAGTAATGACCTGTGAGACATCTCTTGGATACACACCTTCAACAGTGGGTAAAGAAGCAACTTCAATGCTTGTAACGAACTGATCATCAATGTGTGTTGTGTAGAGACTAAGGGGTGACATTTCTCTTGAGATGTCATCTATGGGAGCTTCAACTGCTTCTTCAAATATTTCTTCCATTTCAGTCTTAACTTCTGCTATTTCTGGTGTTAACTGTCTCTCAATGCTCTCTACTGTTTCAGAAACTGGAATCTCTTCTGGATGTTTAATATCCTCATCTAGGACTGATACAGTCACCGCTATTGGCAAGTCTTCATGGGTGCTTTCCTCTGGGGTATACATTTCATCTTCAACAGAGCTTGTTTCAGAAATTTTGCCCATGTCTATTTCATCAGCATCACCTGGTAAGTCATCAGCTGGTGTAATTACTATTGAGACTCCTGATTCTGACCTTGGCATGTCTTTAACAATTTCTTCATTTTCAGATTTACTAACCTCTTCAGCTACCTTAAGACTCTGCTCTTTCGACACTGGCACATGTTTTTCCTCACCTTCGGAAATTTCTTCTGAGGTGGATGGCTCTTTCAGTATCTCTGTTATCTTGTGCTCTGGTGTCTGAGGTTCTTCTGCCTTTTCAATTTTATCCTCGGGTGTTATGAGTGTTGGCTCTGATTCAACATCCTCATGTACTTTATATTTTGGTGCTGAAACTGGAGCCTGAGACTGTATCACTTCTTCAATTTTAATGTCTGTGTGCTGTGGTTCTAAGGCCTTTTCTACTGTCCTTTCGGGCACATTGACAATATCCTCAGCCTCTTCCAATTTAAATTCATGTCCCACTGTTTGGGGATGTGGTTCATCATCTTTTACCTTACCTTCAGGAGGTAAGACAGTAGACTGGGGCTGAGTAACCTCCATCTTATAATAAAGACCAGAAGCAAGAGGCTGGGGTCTATCATCCTCTTCTAATGTAGTGTCAGGAACTGTGGAAAGTGATTGGGGTTCCATTGCATCCTTTACCTTCGAGTCAGGAAGTATTGCAGGTGGAAGAGACTGTACATCTTCCCTCATGCTTGGTACAGGAGCTGATGGCATTTGCTCTTCTTGTACTACCTTCTTCTCTTCTTCCTTAAACTTAGGTTGTGGAATTGAAAGTTCTGTTTCTTTGATCTCTTCTACCTTATAATCAGGTGCTGGAGCAGGAGGCTGAAGTTCAACCACAATTCTCTCTGGAAGGGATGGCTCTGCTGGGGTTGCATACAGCACACCCTCAAAGGGTATGGGAACATGTGATGGTTCAACAGGCTCTTCCTGGCTCATAATGGGGACTGGGAACCTTTCCTCAGGCTTGGGGAACACTGGCAAGTCATCCACAGGGGATTCCTTTGGCCAACAAGGTAAAGCAGGAGCACTCTCTTGATCTTCAGGAAGATGCATCTGCTGCTCAGGCTCTGGAACATCTTGTGGGTACAACTGTACTTGCCAGAGATCTGTTTTACCTGCATCTTTGGGCTCTGTTAAGGAATCCTTTGCTGGCTGTGGGAAATGATCAATAATTAATTCTTTGTTATCAGGGTGTATCTCAAGGGAAGAAGGAATAGCACCTTTCCTAGCTTCAAGAGGGAGGCTACTCTGTGACATCTCATGACTATCCTCAGGTTCCTCAACAATTTCCTCAATCTCAACAGGTTTACCATCAATTATTACAACTTTCTTGATAATTCGCCTCCTAATGATTTTATGGATGAGGGTTGTGGTTTCCATAGGACTGGTGGCATGCTGTAAAGGTTCATGCTGTTCTCCTTCACTAAATTCCGAGTCATCTACTGGCTCCTCCACAACTTCCTCCGTCTCCACAGGCTGCCCATCAACAATTATGATTTTCTTTATAACTCTTCTCCTAAATATTTGATACGCACTTATCACCTCAGGTTCAGACATCACATTTGTGACAAGGGTTCCTTCTGGATGACTTAAAATATCCTCAGTGACTTCTTCAGGTTCCTCCACCACTTCCTCAGTCTCCACTGGTCTCGATTCTGTAAGTGGTCACCTGAGTCAGCTGGGAGTTTCCTCAGCATTTCCTCAGTGACTTCTTCAGGTTCCTCCACCACTTCCTCAGTCTCCACTGGTTTACCATCTACCATAATAATCTTCTTAATTATTCTCTTCTGATGATTCTGTGAGTAGTGGTCACCTCAGGTTCTGTGATGGTCTCAGTAATCACTGAGTCAGCTGGCAGTTTCTCAAGCATTTCCTCAGTGACTTCTTCAGGTTCCTCCACCACTTCCTCAGTCTCCACTGGTTTACCATCTACCATAATAATCTTCTTAATTATTCTCCTGATGATTCTGTGAGTAGTGGTCACCTCAGGCTCTGTGATGGTCTCAGTAATCACTGAGTCAGCTGGGAGACCTTGGAGCATTTCCTCAGTGACTTCTTCAGGTTCCTCCACCACTTCCTCAGTCTCCACTGGTTTACCATCTACCATAATAATCTTCTTAATTATTCTCCTTCTGATGATTCTGTGAGTAGTGGTCACCTCAGGTTCTGTTATGGTCTCAGTAATCACTGAGTCAGCTGGGAGACCTTGGAGCATTTCCTCAGTGACTTCTTCAGGTTCCTCCACCACTTCCTCAGTCTCCACTGGTTTACCATCTACCATAATAATCTTCTTAATTATTCTCCTTCTGATGATTCTATGGGTAGTGGTCACCTCAGGCTCTGTGATGGTCTCAGTAATCATTGAGTCAGCTGACAGTTTTTCAAGCATTTCCTCAGTGACTTCTTCAGGTTCCTCCACCACTTCCTCAGTCTCCACTGGTTTACCATCTACCATAATAATCTTCTTAATTATTCTCCTTCTGATGATTCTGTGAGTAGTGGTCACCTCAGGCTCTGTGATGGTCTCAGTAATCACTGAGTCAGCTGGCAGTTTCTCAAGCATTTCCTCAGTGACTTCTTCAGGTTCCTCCACCACTTCCTCAGTCTCCACTGGTTTACCATCTACCATAATAATCTTCTTAATTATTCTCCTTCTGATGATTCTATGGGTAGTGGTCTTGTGATGGTCTCAGTAATCACTGAGTCAGCTGGCAGTTCTTTCCTCAGTGACTTCTTCAGGTTCCTCCACCATCAGTCTCCACTGGTTTACCATCTACCATAATAATCTTCTTAATTATTCTCCTTCTGATGATTCTGTGAGTGTCACCTCAGGCTCTGTGATGGTCTCAGTAATCACTGAGTCAGCTGGCAGTTTCTCAAGCATTTCCTCAGTGACTTCTTCAGGTTCCTCCACCACTTCCTCAGTCTCCACTGGTTTACCATCTACCATAATAATCTTCTTAATTATTCTCCTTCTGATGATTCTATGGGTAGTGGTCACCTCAGGTTCTGTGATGGTCTCAGTAATCACTGAGTCAGCTGGCAGTTTCTCAAGCATTTCCTCAGTGACTTCTTCAGGTTCCTCCACCACTTCCTCAGTCTCCACTGGTTTACCATCTACCATAATAATCTTCTTAATTATTCTCCTTCTGATGATTCTGTGAGTAGTGGTCACCTCAGGCTCTGTGATGGTCTCAGTAATCACTGAGTCAGCTGGCAGTTTTTCAAGCATTTCCTCAGTGACTTCTTCAGGTTCCTCCACCACTTCCTCAGTCTCCACTGGTTTACCATCTACCATAATAATCTTCTTAATTATTCTCCTTCTGATGATTCTGTGAGTAGTGGTCACCTCAGGCTCTGTGATGGTCTCAGTAATCACTGAGTCAGCTGGCAGTTTCTCAAGCATTTCCTCAGTGACTTCTTCAGGTTCCTCCACCACTTCCTCAGTCTCCACTGGTTTACCATCGACCATAATAATCTTCTTAATTATTCTCCTTCTGATGATTCTATGGGTAGTGGTCACCTCAGGCTCTGTGATGGTCTCAGTAATCACTGAGTCAGCTGGCAGTTTTTCAAGCATTTCCTCAGTGACTTCTTCAGGTTCCTCCACCACTTCCTCAGTCTCCACTGGTTTACCATCTACCATAATAATCTTCTTAATTATTCTCCTTCTTATGATTCTGTGAGTAGTGGTCACCTCAGGTTCTGTGATGGTCTCAGTAATCACTGAGTCAGCTGGCAGTTTTTCAAGCATTTCCTCAGTGACTTCTTCAGGTTCCTCCACCACTTCCTCAGTCTCCACTGGCTTACCATCTACCATAATAATCTTCTTAATTATTCTCCTTCTGATGATTCTGTGCGTAGTGGTCACCTCAGGTTCTGTGATGGCCTTGGTAATCACTGAGTCAGCTGGGAGACCTTGCATCATTTCCTCAGTGACTTCTTCAGGTTCCTCCACCACTTCCTCAGTCTCCACTGGTTTACCATCTACCATAATAATCTTCTTAATTATTCTCCTTCTGATAATTCTGTGAGTAGTGGTTACCTCAGGCTCTGTGATGGTCTCAGTAATCACTGAGTCAGCTGGTAGTTTTTCAAGCATTTCCTCGGTGACTTCTTCAGGTTCCTCCACCACTTCCTCAGTCTCCACTGGTTTACCATCTACCATAATAATCTTTTTAATTATTCTCCTTCTGATGATTCTGTGGGTAGTGGTCACCTCAGGTTCTGTGATGGTCTCAGTAATCACTGAGTCAGCTGGAAGACCTTGTATCATTTCCTCAGTGACTTCTTCAGGTTCCTCCACCACTTCCTCAATCTCCACTGGTTTACCATCAATAATGACAATTTTCTTGACGACTCTCTTCCTGACAACTCTTTCAATGGTAGTTGTAATTTGTTCAGGATCTCTAACTGTTGTAGTAGTGGGTTCCTGGACAACAAAAGACACATCTGTATTTCTTTCTGGTGTCATGTGGTCAGATGGTACACCAGGGGCTGGGAATGTTTCTGGAATATCATATTTAATATCTTCATAATGAGGTACATTAACTGGTGGTTGTTTTAAGTTTCCTTGTTCAATTGGTTTAGGCCTTTCACTCTTGTCGAGCTTCTCATATACAGCATGAGAAAATACCTTTACTGTTTCTACACTTGGCTGAGGAATATCTATTCTGTTGGAAGGCTCTGGGAACTCTTCAACTGGTGCTGGGAATGCTAAACCTTCAGCAGCCTCCTCTGGATTTTTCATTGGTATAGGTGGTAAGACAACTTGGCCCTCCTCCTGAGGTATTTCCTTGATTGTGACTGGCTCATCTTTCTTCGTGTAAAGTTTCTCTGTCCATGGAGAAACAAGGGAAACATATTGAGGTGTGTCATTTGAACTGAAGTTGGGTTCTGGGAAATTTTGATCTATATCTTCAACAGGTTTTTCTTCATACAATGGTGGCTGCTTTACACTGTCCTCCACCTTAATGACTGGTTCTTTGGGTTGTTCCTCAGACTTAAAGCCAGGGACTGGGAAGGATACAGACTCTGTTTGTTCAGTATCTTCATAATCAGGAACACGAACAGGTGTTTGTTTTAAATCTTCTTGTTCAACAATAGGCCCAGGCTTTTCTTCCTTGTCAGCCCGAGTATACACAGTCTCTGTGAATAATTGAGGAGCTTCTGCATCAGCTGGTTCGTCTGGAACACCAAGAGGCTTTGGCATATCTTCAACTGGGAGAGGGAAATCAGTTTTCTCATTTGGATCTTCTGGAATTTTCATAGGAATGGGAGACAAATCTACAGAAGGTCCACTTGGAGGATGGCTTACATCTTGAACCACTACTTCTTTTTGAGGATAATGTTGTTCTGTCCATTGTGAAACCGACAGTACATCTTGTGGCACATCCTGAGTGTGAACAGTAACTGGTTGGGGGAAGGCTTCTATTATTTTCTTGTCATCTGTTCCTTCCTCTACATACTCTGGTTCCTTAAAGCCCTGCTCTTGAGGAATCACAATCTCAGACACTATCTTTACATTTTCAGTTTTTGCATGGAGCACTCCAAGTTCAGGGAAAGAAACTTCTGAAGATGAGGCAACTGTTTCCTTAAATATAGGCACCCCTTTTGGAGATGATGGCAAATTTTGTTCTTCAATAGGTCCAGATTTTTTTACATCAACTGGCTTAGTATAAAGGGTCTCTGTGTACATCTGACTGACTTCTTCTGCTGGTCTGGGATGTTCAACTGCACTTGAGGGCTCAGGAAATTCACCCACTGGAGGAAAGAATGGCTCTTTCATATCAATTTGATCTGGTCTGTTCACAGGCAATGGTGACAACTCTGTTTGAACGTTTTCCACTGGTATAGGTTGACCCCCAACAACTTTCTCACTCTGAATATAAATTTCCCTTGTCCAATGTAAAGGTGAAATGATGTCTTGAGGCATATCCTCATCCCCAACAGTAAGTGGCTCTGGGAATGTTGGGACCTCTTCTGGTTCCTCATTTTCTACATCAATTACTAATTTTACAGACTCTGGGATGGTCTCTGTCTGTTCATCTAGTGTTGGTACTTTCACTGACTCCGGGAATACCTGTTTCTTTTCCTCATCGTTGTCTGGTTTTCCAGGCATTGGGAATGACAATGGTATGGAAGAGGTAACACTATCTTCATAAACAGGTAAACCAGGTGAAGTTTGTGCTAGCTCTTCTTGTTCTACAATAACCTGTGACACATCTTTCTCTGCAGGTTGACAATATACTGGTTCTTTGAACAATTCACTTGGTTTTTCTGATGGTTTTGGTTCTTCTGTTGTTCCTGAGGGCTGAGGGAACTCCCCAACTGGAGCTGGGAATAGAGAGTCATCAGCAGAATATTCTGGTTTCTTTGCTGGTAAAGGAGATAATACAACATCTAATTCTTCTTCACGAATATATTCCTTTTCTTTCACTGGCTCATTCTTAACATAAACCTGCTCTGTCCACCGAGTAACAGTTGTTACATCTTTTGGGGTTTCATTAGATACAGCAGGTGTAGGGAAAGCATCTACTTCTCCAGCTCTTGCCACATCCTCGGGGAACTCAGGAGGCTGTTTACCTTGTTCAGCTGGTTTTCCAGGTTCTGGGAATACTGGCACCTTTTCTTTAACTGGTTTATCTACAATAGATGGTGGTTCCTTGAGGGAACTCTTCTCTTGAGGAATTGGCTGTACTGGTTCCTTTGCAGAGACCTTCACATATGTATCACTTGTCCATGTCTTTGACACTTCCACATTACACAACTCTGGTATTTCTTCACATACTTTAGGTTGAGGATATTCTTCCTGAGGTGAGGGAAAATCTGGTTTTACTTCTTCAGGAACCTTCATGCCAACATCAGGTAAAGATGGAGCAACCGATGTGTCATCAGTAATTACTGGCTTGCTATCCTTTCTCTTCTGCTGTTGGTAATAATCGTCTTGCCATGATACATTTACATTCAGGGATGACTCTTTCAACTGTTCAAATTCATCCTGGTTTTTTGGTGTTAATGCAGGGAAAGAGGGTTCATCCTCACCAAACTCCAGAGGCCTTGCAAATGGCTCAAGAAACTCTGTTTGTGCATCAGCAAAATCTGGGGTAGGTGCTGGAGGAGGAGGGGCATCTTGTAGCATCCCTGTGATGGGTTCTGAATTGCTATATCTTGGCAGTGTTGGGTATTTATCATCTGTGAATATACTTATTTTTGCCTTGGGGTCTTCTGGCAATTCTAAAACAGCTGATTTAGCTACCTCTGGGAAGTCTTGAACAAGTTCTGGGAATGGCTTGTCAATAGTTTTGAAATCTGGTGATAACACAGGAAAATCTGCATACATGGAATCCCCTGGACTAGTTTTTATCAATTCAGTTGTTTCTTGTACAATGAATTTTTCATAATGAGGTGATTTGTAAATATCAGGAATTTCAGGTGCCTTTCGTAACTGTGTAACACCACTGTCTTCTCTGGCAGGAGAAGGAAAATGAATGGCCGAAACTTCAATAAGCTCTTTTTGTAGAGGAGTAGCCTTAGAGAGTTCCTCTGGTCCTCCCAGTTCAATAGGCATAGGGAATGTTTCTGGAGTAATTTCTTTAACCTGATCCTCAACTGGAATTTCAGGTGACTTAAATCTTTGATCTTCGGACAGTACAGTTTCCCGACCCATAACAAGACTCTCAACTTGGGGCTCGATATCCTGTGTGAAAGAAATTTCTCGAGTAATGTCTTTGAGGTCCTGAGTTAAGTCATCCCAAGATGGATGTGGAACACCTTCTGAAGGCTCTGGGAATGGATCAAATTCAGTTTCCTTATCAAATATAACAGTTTCTGCAGGGAAATCTGGAGCCTGGTCACAAGGCTGAGGTATCAGCTCTTCTGCAGCAGGTTCATCAGATTTTGGATAGACCTCTCTGCCCCACACACTTTCAGATTTGTCTTTTACTACATCAGTTGGTGCACTATCATCCTTATTGGTCGGCACTGGGAATGTATTTACTGGCTCTGGGAAGGTAACTTCTTCTGTATATTTCATGTCAGGTGGACCTAGATATGCTGGTAATGTTGGTGAGTCCTCAGTGGGTTGTGGTATTGACTCCTTTTCTGTGGGTTCAGCAACTTTTGAATAAACTTCTTCAGTCCAAGTACTTGTTGTTTTATCAACAATCACATCCTTTGGTTTATCATCATCTTTCTGTACTGGTACTGGGAATGTGTCCACTGGTGTTGGGAAAGAATCCACCTCTGTTACTTCTAAGTCAACCAAAACTGGTCGTACAGGGAGATCAGGAGCGTGCTCACTGGTCTGTGGGATTGGCTCTCTTTCGGGAGATTCATCGGTATTTGGATAAACATCTACAGACCAAGTTCTCTCTGTTCTTTCTTCCATTTCATCTGGTCTTTTGTCATCTGTCTGTGGTACTGGGAATTGCCGAGGAGCATTTTCATCATCAAGAGGCTGCTTTACTGGCAACTCTTCTGTTACCTTGAAAGTAACGCCCGGAATAATTTTGTGTTGGTCATCTCCCATTGGTTTAGCTGGATACACATCACCTACCAATTTAGAAATCTTCACTGCAGGTTGTGAGGTATCAGAACTCTCTGTTATGGGTAAGGGTAGTGATTCAGTTTCAGTTGTTTTGTCTGGCACAGCAGGATGATCTTCATCAGATATTTCTGTAATAGTTACACCAGATCCGTCATCTGGCAAACCAAACTCAGTTTCTGGTTCTTCCACAACTTCTTCTGTCTCAATCCTCTCTCCATTAATTATCTGGACACGTCTGATGACTCTCCTACGTCTACGTACAACATGATATTGAATATTCTTCAGTTCTGGGGACTCACCAGGTGCCACCGGTTCACCTCCTTCAAGAATCTCTTCAGACACTATTGGCTGACCATCAACAATTTTTAAATGTCGAATGACTCTTGCCTTTTTCTCTGGAACAGAGTCTGATAAGAAGGCATCCCGAGGTACACGTTCTATATCTTCACTTATTTGTAAAGTAATTGGCTGCCTTTCTCCTGTACTAGGATATTCATAAACCTCTTCTGGGGTCTCTGCTCTCTCTTCTTCAACCACTTCTTTACCGTCAACAACACATACTGACCGTCTAATTTTAACATTTTTCTTAATAACACGGACACCTCCTGATAATGGAGTTAATAAGGCACTAACAGAATCAGTCGTGTCTTCCCTGACATCTTCAGGTTCCTCCACCACTTCCTCAGTCTCCACTGGTTTACCATCGACCATAATAATCTTCTTGATTATTCTCCTTCTGATGATTCTGTGAGTAGTGGTCACCTCAGGTTCTGTTATGGTCTCAGTAATCACTGAGTCAGCTGGGAGACCTTGTAGCATTTCCTCAGTGACTTCTTCAGGTTCCTCCACCACTTCCTCAGTCTCCACTGGTTTACCATCGACCATAATAATCTTCTTGATTATTCTCCTTCTGATGATTCTGTGAGTAGTGGTCACCTCAGGTTCTGTTATGGTCTCAGTAATCACTGAGTCAGCTGGGAGACCTTGTAGCATTTCCTCAGTGACTTCTTCCACCACTTCCTCAGTCTCCACTGGTTTACCATCTACCACTTCCTCAGTCTCCACTGGTCTTACACATCTACCATAATAACCACTTCTTCTCCACTACCATAATCTTCTTAATTATTCTCCTTCTGATGATTCTGTGAGTAGTGGTCACCTCAGGCTCTGTGATGGTCTCAGTAATCACTGAGTCAGCTGGCAGTTTTTCAGCATTTCCTCAGTGACTTCTTCAGGTTCCTCCACCACTTCCTCAGTCTCCACTGGTTTACCATCTACCATAATAATCTTCTTAATTATTCTCCTTCTGATGATTCTGTGAGTAGTGGTCACCTCAGGTTCTGTGATGGTCTCAGTAATCACTGAGTCAGCTGGCAGTTTTTCAAGCATTTCCTCAGTGACTTCTTCAGGTTCCTCCACCACTTCCTCCTCAGTCTCCACTGGTTTACCATCTACCATAATAATCTTCTTAATTATTCTCCTTCTGATGATTCTGTGAGTAGTGGTCACCTCAGGCTCTGTGATGGTCTCAGTAATCACTGAGTCAGCTGGCAGTTTCTCAAGCATTTCCTCAGTGACTTCTTCAGGTTCCTCCACCACTTCCTCAGTCTCCACTGGTTTACCATCGACCATAATAATCTTCTTAATTATTCTCCTTCTGATGATTCTATGGGTAGTGGTCACCTCAGGTTCTGTGATGGTCTCAGTAATCACTGAGTCAGCTGGGAGACCTTGTAGCATTTCCTCAGTGACTTCTTCAGGTTCCTCCACCACTTCCTCAGTCTCCATTGGTTTACCATCTACCATAATAATCTTCTTAATTATTCTCCTTCTGATGATTCTGTGAGTAGTGGTCACCTCAGGCTCTGTGATGGTCTCAGTAATCACTGAGTCAGCTGGGAGACCTTGGAGCATTTCCTCAGTGACTTCTTCAGGTTCCTCCACCACTTCCTCAGTCTCCATTGGTTTACCATCTACCATAATAATCTTCTTAATTATTCTCCTTCTGATGATTCTATGGGTAGTGGTCACCTCAGGTTCTGTGATGGTCTCAGTAATCACCGAGTCAGCTGGGAGACCTTGTAGCATTTCCTCAGTGACTTCTTCAGGTTCCTCCACCACTTCCTCAGTCTCCACTGGTTTACCATCTACCATAATAATCTTCTTAATTATTCTCCTTCTGATGATTCTGTGAGTAGTGGTCACCTCAGGTTCTGTTATGGTCTCAGTAATCACTGAGTCAGCTGGGAGACCTTGTAGCATTTCCTCAGTGACTTCTTCAGGTTCCTCCACCACTTCCTCCTCCACCACTTCCTCAGTCTCCACTGGTTTACCATCTACCATAATAATCTTCTTAATTATTCTTCTTCTGATGATTCTGTGAGTAGTGGTCACCTCAGGCTCTGTGATGTCTCAGTAATCACCGAGTCAGCTGGGAGACCTGTAGCATTTCCTCAGTGACTTCTTCAGGTTCCTCCACCACTTCCTCAGTCTCCATGGTTTACCATCTACCATAATAATCTTCTTAATTATTCTCTTCTGATGATTCTGTGAGTAGTGGTCACCTCAGGTTCTGTGATGGTCTCAGTAATCACTGAGTCAGCTGGGAGACCTTGTAGCATTTCCTCAGTGACTTCTTCAGGTTCCTCCACCACTTCCTCAGTCTCCACTGGTTTACCATCTACCATAATAATCTTCTTAATTATTCTCCTTCTGATGATTCTGTGAGTAGTGGTCACCTCAGGTTCTGTGATGGTCTCAGTAATCACCGAGTCAGCTGGGAGACCTTGTAGCATTTCCTTCTTCAGGTTCCTCCACCACTTCCTCAGTCTCCACTGGTTTACCATCTACCATAATAATCTTCTTAATTATTCTCCTTCTGATGATTCTGTGAGTAGTGGTCACCTCAGGTTCTGTGATGCAGTAATCACTGAGTCAGCTGGGAGACCTTGTAGCATTTCCTCAGTGACTTCTTCAGGTTCCTCCACCACTTCCTCAGTCTCCACTGGTTTACCATCAATAATGACGAACAATTCTCTTGCGAATAACTCTTCGAGTGGTTTTTGTGGTCACCTCAGGTTCTGTGATGGTCTCAGTAATCACTGAGTCAGCTGGCAGTTTTTCAAACATTTCCTCAGTGACTTCTTCAGGTTCCTCCACCACTTCCTCAGTCTCCACTGGTTTACCATCTACCATAATAATCTTCTTAATTATTCTCCTTCTGATGATTCTGTGAGTAGTGGTCACCTCAGGTTCTGTGATGGTCTCAGTAATCACTGAGTCAGCTGGGAGACCTTGTAGCATTTCCTCAGTGACTTCTTCAGGTTCCTCCACCACTTCCTCAGTCTCCACTGGTTTACCATCAATAATGACGATTTTCTTGACAATTCTCTTGCGAATAACTCTTCGAGTGGTTTTTGTAGTCACCTCAGGTTCTGTGATGGTCTCAGTAATCATTGAGTCAGCTGGCAGTTTTTCAAACATTTCCTCAGTGACTTCTTCAGGTTCCTCCACCACTTCCTCAGTCTCCATTGGTTTACCATCTACCATAATAATCTTCTTAATTATTCTCCTTCTGATGATTCGGTGAGTAGTGGTCACCTCAGGCTCTGTGATGGTCTCAGTAATCATTGAGTCAGCTGGCAGTTTTTCAAGCATTTCCTCAGTGACTTCTTCAGGTTCCTCCACCACTTCCTCAGTCTCCACTGGTTTACCATCTACCATAATAATCTTCTTAATTATTCTCCTTCTGATGATTCTGTGGGTAGTGGTCACCTCAGGTTCTGTGATGGTCTCAGTAATCACTGAGTCAGCTGGGAGATCTTGTAGCATTTCCTCAGTGACTTCTTCAGGTTCCTCCACCACTTCCTCAGTCTCCACTGGTTTACCATCGACAATAATTATTCTTTTTATTATCCTTTTTCTTATTATTTTTCTGATTGTTGTCAATGTATCTGGTTCTCTTATTTCTTTTGTGGTAATTGAATCTGTGGGTGTATATATATCTCTACTCTCTTCAGTGATGTCTTCAGGTTCCTCTACCACTTCCTCAGTTTCTACAGGTTTACCATCAACATATATTATTTTCTTTATAATTCTCTTTCTAATGATTCTACGGATAGTTTTTGTGGTACCATGTTCAAAAGTTTCGTCTGTATCTGAGTCTATGGGCATGGTAGTGATTTTACTGACCTCTACATCAGTTGGTAAATTACCTTGTAATTTTTCCTCTGTTACAATCTGTCGGTCTTTAATCTCCCTAATGTTAACAGGCTGAACACCTTCCATCACAGGTTTTTCATCTATTCCTCTTAGGGGTTTGTAAATGGCTATTGTAGGTCTAGGGCTGGCTGTTGCAAGTTCTGTTACTTCTTCTGCAGAATCTAAAAACTTTTCTTCATTTAAGATATTGTCCAATTGCTTCAACATTTTTCTGTGGTCAACTGAGCCCTCTTCAACTAATTGCTCCACTACATTTTCTGGTTCTTCTAGTACTTCTCTAACTTCTACTAGCTTACCATCAATCATGACATTTTTTGTAATACTCTTCCTTCGAACAGCTCTTACGACAGTGGTTGTTGCCTCAGAGTCTGTGGCGGAGGATTGTTCCATCACATCATCACCTGGTTCCTCAACAACTTCCTCTGTCTCTACAGGTACACCATCAATTATTACAACTTTCTTAATAATTCTCCTTCTCATAACCTTATAAATAGTTGTAGTTTCTGGTTCTGATAGAGTTTCTGTCACAATAACATCCCCTTTAGCGGTGCTGGTTTCCTGGCACAGTTGGACTGATGCTACGCTGGCAATTGTACTCTCGCTATCCTTATTTGAGTCCTGGCTCTCAGCCTGTTCCCGCATCATTTCATTCGCCAGGATCTCCTACAACGAATTTCAGCTCAGGTTAACTTTGATATAGATTTTCTAAAGATGCTCTAAGATATTTATTCATGCTTCCTGATGCAAGTTAACAGGAGACAATGGGCAGTAAAGGACAGGAAAGGATAAAGGTAAAATGGACACCCAGAGAGTAAGATGCATAGAAGTAGGAAACCAGGAAAAGGAAATGAAATCCCAGATAGTTGGAGGAATATAATGTGGAACATGTGCAATTTATGTGGATATGAAAGGACAGGTAGGACGATGTTGGCAGACGCGTACCTTCAGCTGCTGCAGACGATTCTGGAGTACCAGGCGAGTGTCAGAAATTGTCTGACTCAAGAAAGTGAGGTGGTCCGTCATCTCTTGAGCTAAAGATTCAATATGCGAGTCACCCCGCACACGTTCACACTTGCCACGCAGCTCAGTCAATTGTTGCTCACGACGGCACAAGTCACGCTGCAGGGTCTAAAATATAAATTTGTCTTTGTAAGATAAATTCCTCCATTTCAAAAACTAGGTAGTTGGTAAATCCTGGATCTACAACACAAACCATCATATCAGAGTGTCTCAAAAGAATATATACACATCGCCTTACAGATTTTCATGGATATCACATGACGGCTTGTAGTACAACATTGTCCTCACTTGTGGGAGACCTCCTGCATTGTCAAGTGAGGACAATATTGCTATTGTAGTACAAGTATTCACACAAAATCCATGAAAATCTGTGAGGCAGCGAGTATATATTTTTCTGAGACACCCTGTTTTCTATCCTACCAACCACTCCCTAGGCAGCTTTGCTATTTTAGTTGTGTAAAAACCAAGGAATTTATTCAGAGATGGTTATTCTTCTTTAATCTGATTAACAACTGTCACTCAGGGGCAAGAACATTTTACTTTTCCAAATAATAATAAAAAATAATACTGTACTGTAATTTGATGAGACATTTAACTACTGTAGTGTGTATTGTGTGTGGTTTTTGAGTGCATCAAACAATTCTCTGGCAAAGGGTGAACTCCTTCAGGTATATTAATGGAGCTTAACCACATTATGTTGATTTTAATAATACAGTAGTGTACTTGGGTAATTTATAAGACACTTATTATAATACAGGAGGACAATCTATACAACACAATACCATGGGAGGATATATTTTATACTGTACCAAATACTGTACTCATAATAGTATGGAGGGATAATCTATTCAAATAGTACTAAGAAAGTCTGTGGATAATTTAGGTGTATGAATAATTTTGTATTTTAATGATTTCTTCCCCCACTTTTGCAATCCATTTCCATCACTGATAAAGGATGGCCAATATCAAGAACAAACACAGAGTCTCCCTTCATTTGCTACCATTCATTCAGTCTTAAATTTAGTATCCAAATTTACATCATGCAATACAAATGGCACATAAACAGCTCTTATTCACTAGCACAGACAAGTGACCAAGAAGATGGGTACTGTGTTATGATTTTACGAGCAGTGTGGGCTTACAGAAAATTGTCCCCCCCCCTCCCCCAGGGTCAGGTCAAGCTAGGCTAAATCAGGTTAGATGAGGTTAGGTTAGGTAAATTTGGTTAGCATGAACGTAGTAGATCTTAAGGCGAGATAAACTGTGAGGGTTACCTAATCTTCATTTGATGTGGGTCATGCTTACACACAGGACAAGGACATCATCAACACAGAACCCTTAACTAACACTACACTTTTAAGACTAAGAGCAGTCATGGTGGTGGTAAAGATTAATGTATCTATGAGCACGGAAGACAGTGTAAGCTATGTTCTGATTATTTTTCTTTTACTCTCCTTATAGACTGAGGGTGTGGCTGTGGCAGAAGAGTGCCTTAGTCATCATATGACTCCTGTATCCAGGAATATGCCCCCTACTCTTCCAATTTAAAGGACTCTATTGGGAATAAACATCTGATAGGTTTGTCAAATATTCTTGATCAAATTGCCTGTTTACCTTTGTATACCTGCACTATGTACAGGTATTCTCGAGACACATGTTGATTCTATGTAAACTTGTATGATGATTTTACTAAATAAAACTGAAATGATTCCCCTTATCCCCTCCCTGGTTCTCTTCTTAATATAATGTTCCACCTTTCTTCATTAACATTTATGATATGGAAAATTTGATACTGTATATGAGATGTATGAGTAAACTGGGTGTGAATTACATCAGGGTGTAATTTGCTGCTGATGTATACTCCAGAACTGAAGTTGTGGACAGCTGCATAGAACCTACACTAGCGACCTCTGGCAATGAGGAAAATGATAAAACTATGATGTGATATAAATAAAAAAAAGTTTAATAAGTTTAAAATTTTTAAATAAAATAATGTACTATAAAAATCACATGTAGTTGAGTACCCCTATTGCAGTTAACAAAATTTAAAAAATGTATACTGTAGGTCACTAGGTTATATGCAGCTGTCTATGATTTTTGTCTTGAGTGTACATATAAATTATAGTTTTATCTCTGTTTACTTCAAGAAAATAAGTTTCAATAATCAAGAAAGAGTTACAGTAATAAGAAAGGAGAATTAAGTTAATGTATTATCATGAATCATCAGAATAATACAGTAAGAAAGTATAGTTAATGTATCATGTATCACCAGAATAATGAAGGAGGAGATACAACAGTTGATAGGGAATGAATTAATGTACAAATGATGTACAGTTCCAAGAGAATAAACCAAAAAACTACAGTACACATATTTACAACAGCTCATAAAGAATTAAAAGTTCAAGTATTAACCAAATATTTCAAATAATTAAGAATGACACACGCACTGTACAACAATTTCATCAGCATTAACGGGTGTGTGCAATTAGTTCGTTAATCATGTGGAGTAAAGATTCGAGTGTGCATGCCAATATGACAACAGGAAACCATCGTGAAGATGATAATGGTAACCAATCCCATTTTCAAAGACATGAATTTATATTAACACAATTGATGGCCCACTGACATCTTCTTCCACTACAGAGAGATGGTCTTCATCTTTCACAACACACGAGATGGTCAGTGGACATTGGCACTTTTGTTGTACAGTATGAATGTTATATTTCTGTCCTTGAATGTGGGGTTTGATTTCCAGTCCAGTAGTGTATATTTATGTTACTGTGATCGATAATGATTATGATGATGATAATTATAATGAAAATGATGACGATGATAATGAAAGTGCTAATGATGAGGATGATAGTTATGATGAAGATGATAATTATGATGATGAGGCTGTGCAAGAAAATCTTCAACCTGGGTTCGGAGATCAAGCACTAACATTATCTGAAGCAGAATACTATACACACAAGAGAAGATTAGTTAGAGGAGAATAACCATAGAATAAAGGATAATTAAGTACAGTAAGAATAAAGGATAATTAACTCAGAATTGAAGCATCTCGGGAGTGGCTGGCAACGACAACTCTACGTCACAACGGTGTTACAGCCTACATCCTGGACTACACAAGACTATATATATATATATATATATATATATATATATATATATATATATATATATATATATATATATATATATATATATATATATATATATATATATATATATATGTAACATGTATGTATGTATGTATGTATGTATGTATGTATGTATGTATGTATGTATGTATGTATGTATGTATGTATGTATGTATGTATGTATGTATGTATGTATGTATGTATGTATGTATGTATGTATGTATGTATGTATGTATGTATGTATGTATGTATGTATGTATGTATGTATGTATGTATGTATGTATGTATGTATGTAGTATGTATGTATGTATGTATGTATGTATGTATGTACATGCATATATATATATATATATACATATATATATATATATATATATATATATATATATATATATATATATATATATATATATATATATATATATATATATATATATATATACACGCAAAGTCTGGTTAATGATAAATGTTGTCGGCACTCAAATTTGAGGATTTGCAGCTGAGTTACTGTACATCCAAACAGCAAGATTAACCAAAAAAGGTGTAAAACCCCAGAGGGCAGTAATTTGTCACTCGAGATAAATTTCCAATTATTAATCAATTAACCAAGGAAAGCATGCCAAGTAGTCTGTGTTACTCAAAACATCCAGGATGGAGACTCCAAAAAAGGTAAGGAGGAGACTGAAGTGTGTACAGTATCAAGATGTAAAAAATATTTTAATTTAATGTTACATGTTTCTTCATGAACTGGTCAAACTGTAGCAATGGTGGTTACATCTCCATACTATGGCACAATTCAGTCTCCAAGCTCCACAAAACAAAATATCAGAGCTGCATATCTTACCTGATTCAGAGATATCTGTTCACGAATGGCTGCCACAGACCCATGTGAGATTTCAGAGGTGATCTGGGTGTACGTTTCTGTCACCCAACACTCCAAGTCCTGAAGCAACTGCTGGTACTCAATCAGGTGGAACTTCTGCTGCTCCGTCTCACTGTGTTTTCCCTAAGAATTAAAAAAAAAATGGAAATGTAAAGCAAATATTTCTCCAGCTTCTACATGTTTTATATAAATTCTTTTTTACTCTTTCAAGTCTTTTACCACTATAATGCAGGGAAATAAGAATCATGAGCAAATTCATATAAAACAAAAACTTATACAGCTCATATTTTAATCGATATTTTTATTCTTTCAAGTTGTTCTTTGTTATAATTACCCAGAATCAAGAGCAATAATATACATATACAGTGCAATACTTTCTTCCTCCATTCACTGTCATTCATTTAATCCTGCTGATAATAGATGTGCTTGGCTATAGTAGATCCTGTTGCTGCACACAACCTAGTAGTATCAATCCCATCAGCACCAAGTCCTTCCCCAAAGGTGACTATGTTTTGCTCTATGGTCATTTATGCATATCGCTGCCTCCTACATGTCCACCTCCCTCATGATTATTAAGATTTTCAGCCCTATTCTCTCATCTTCTTCTGGATCTCGTCTTACTCTCTCCATCCTACTCTCCACCTTCAAATTACAGGGGGGAGTATTCTACTTTTTTTTCCTATTCTTTCAATATGCATTACTTAAGTAAACCCTGACCTGTTCTCTCCCTCATGTAACAATGTTCTCCCCCCATCATACAGTTCTTTCTCATCATACACTTCTCGGCCCACCAACCATATTCCCCTCTTCCCCTCTCTTAATCTGTGATTCCGCTCAGCTGCTCAGTGTTCCATTTGCTATTCCATTTCCTTATAACTAAAACATCCCAATTTCCTCATTCTATTTCCATATAAGTTAACACTTATTTCTTCCTGACTCCTTTATTAATATTTTTTAATTATTTTATTTTTCTACCCATTCACTACAGTATAGGTACGTATTATACTCTCACTTAGAACATACTCTTCAAAACTGAGCCAATAAGACTTTTAACTTTTCCTTTGAGTCACCTGCAAAAAGCTGTATCATCTGTTAACAGCAGCCAACTCACCTCTCATTTGTATTCTATATCACCATCTACCAAAAAAGTATTTATCTCCATCACTCTTGCTTTCACCTCTCCAAGCAACCACAATAAGTTTCCTTCAACCTGGTAAACTCTTAACAAACGGTTCACTCACCATATGAAAACTATGACGTGGTTCTTTTTTAAAACACCAAGATAGATTACTAAACAGGGGTACAAAGTGACACCAAATGAAGAGTCACTACCATCATCATCAAAGATTTACAGCCATTTTCCATACTTGCATGGATTAGCTGTGATTACGTAACGAATTATTAATATACTATACTGTACCTGACTGAATTTACACACAAATGATGAAAAATGATTTACTATTAAGAAAATATTGTTCACAAGTTACCTCTATTTCTGATTTCTTGTACTCGGCTTGAGAACGCATAGTCTTAAGTCGCATCCTCAGACCAGAGACCACGGCGTGCATGTTTTGCATTTCACTGTCTTGTTCCATAGTCTTTTCTCTTTCTTCCAGGTGGTTCAAATCATCTTCAAGTTGGTTCATCTCGATTATTAGTGTCTGTGTTATAGGAAACATGAATGAGTTGAGTCAATTTATATCTCAATTATGAAATTTACTTCATTCTCATCTACACAAAAACATCTACAGTTTAACACCTCTAAAAAGAAGAACTATTAAAAATTATATATCCCCAGACAATCCAAAATGACTATAACACTAGAAGCACTTGACCTAGCGACATATTCACTACCGGGGTAATCCTCAGCAAAAATAAATAAATAAAAAATAAATAAATAAATCATAATAAACTCTTCCCCCCCCCATAAATAAATAAATCTATCACACATCTATAGAGTGGAAACTAAACTTGAAACAGCTACGTACTCCGATATTTTTTGTTGGGGATATACAGTACAGGTAAAAAATATTTGTATCCAATTTATATATTTATTTATTTATTTTTATTTATTTTTTTTTTTTCATCATCTATTCGCCACTTATCAGCTTACTAGCCGTTTGGGCGGTTTATCCATTGCTAGTACAGGAGGAAACCGGGGACCGGGAAACCTGTGGTGTTTGGTAGTGAGGGTCATACTGGATAACACCCTTCTCACATGTGTCAGGGCCGAGGCTCGAACCTTTGACATATTGGTGAGAATTACCGATGTGCGTTACCGCTGTACCACCACGAGCTTTTACTTGCAGCTTTGTTTACTTTTGGTTACACTGGGAAAAACTGGCAAATGTGAGAAAAATAGTTACTGTATAGGGCTTAAGATACCTGTACTATGTTTACATGTACAGTATGGTATATCTAATTTAAAAACACTGATGGTCCAATAAAAAAATAATATTGATGGGCGAGAACATAAAAATGGTATTCAACAATAAAAGAAACTAAGATAAAATAATAAACAAAGAATACCTGTACCTGTATTCAAAATTTTACGTTGATATAAACGATGTTGTAAAACTAGCATGAGGAGTTTGAATAAAACATCCTCAAAATAAAAATTATTTCAAATAGCTGTAAAATTATGTAATTTCTGGCCAGTACAGCAGTGGCACAATATATAAATCTAGAGAAACACTTATTTTAGCTATCGCAAGTTTTAACATACAGTACAAGGTATAGGTAATCCAGTGAACGTTGCTTGGTAAACCCGGCGCTGAATCAAATGAACAAAAACAAAGGTCAAATAATTTACTGATGAAAAACTTTATGGGGGAATAATTACTGAAAATATCTAAGGCTTAGTTCACTAAATGGCTTCAGCCCAATTATTTTTTTATGTTTAAATTTTTTTTATAATACCATACAGAATTCACAAAGCAATTAGGGAAATTTTTCATGACAATTATTGCTAGTTAAGGAGGAGATTTAACTATTTCGTTAAAAAGACAACACTGCCTTTTCTACAATATGAAAATTATTAGGTTGACACTCACACTTTTACTGACCTAACCCACAACATAACAAATAGTACAGTATGTACTGTAGAATAACATCTTAAATTCAACTTGCACTAAAAATATTCTCAATATTGTACAAAAAAAAATCAATATGGCAGATATTAGTGTCTATACAGTACAAGATATGTAAACATATTTGATATGATTAACAAAGGAAATGTACTGTAACCCAATGGGAGTTGTTTATGGAAATTCCACAAAAGAAAAGGGGCCACCAAATTATTCGATAATGGAATGTAAAGGATATGACATGTCCAATGATAATGGTTGCTGCCCTTGCAGTAACATCCATTGATGAAGGCCACCATAAGATTTAACCCATGATTAAAAGAAGTGAAATCTGTATAGTTTTAACACAGTGACTGAAATTGTTTATGAACACAGAGTTGAATGGACAAAGAGGGGAAAAAAGCAGATTTCCTCAACTTTTAGGGAACAATTACTGTAATGTACTACAGTAGTATGTCTGGGACCTTGAGCAGCCTTATGAGACTGGTGTAAATAGATTACTACGGGTGAACATTGCCAGTCTGAGTACATCATCTGTGGCAATAGAGACTGTCATTATGCAGAAAGTAAAGTAGACAGTCTTTGCATGTATGGTAAATATAATAGTGCATCTTATGAAGCCCACAATTCACCTTAACATCAATATCATCTAAGATTTAGTGTACACCTTCAAGACATGTAACTTTTCTAAATGGACAAAATTTATAGAATAAAAATCCCTACAAAATACTAAGTTAATTATACTGTACTGTACCTGTATGGTGGTCAACTGTTCAACAATGGTAAAGTCCACAAGAGCCTTGATTCTATCCTGGAAGCTCTCAAGTTTGTCTTGTGCTGAGGACACTTTCTTCTTGGCCTCCTGCTCCAGGGAAGACAGGGAACCACAATTAATTAATATTCCCAAAAGAAAAATATTATATTCTGCTGCAGGGACTCTGAAACACCTGGGTATAAATACCTTGAACAGGAATTACCTTTAATGAAGGGCAATATTTTTAAGATATTATGAGCTTCCAATCTGAGGGGGAAGGAGAGGGGAGGACACATTTTCAACAATAGTAAGAAACAACTCTAATCACAAGCATTATAACACACAAATAATACATAAAAAAATAAATAAAAATCATTCCATAATGCAACACTTTCCAAAATCGAATTACTGTAACTCATGCTTCATCCAAATGCCAATGACATGATAAAATAAAATAATATAAAAAAACACTTGTTTATTTACCGTATTTGCTAAATTCTCGCAAATGTGAAATTTAGGGCCATCCAATACTTACTGTGTCTTAAATTTTGTACATATTCTGGCTCAACATATAGAGGGAAACATTATACGTATTTCTCCACATGTTTTCATTTTAACCTACCGTACAGTATATAGTGTAGTATATGTTCAATAGTTTTCATTCACATAAAGCTTCTTTCTTATAAGTCAGAGAGTGTGCTCAAAAAACACTGACCTTAGTAATTAATCAACTACAACAAACAACTGCCCCCCTATATGAAGTTGACCATAAAGATACAGTAGTGTGCTTAAAACTCTAAACCAAAGTCATCCTGTACAAAGACACAGCCTATATTATCCTGTTTGTGTTAAAAGTGTTGAAGGACTTATAATGTGTGGTTTCATGCCTGGATGGGGGGATTAAATATGATAGAATGAATGACATGAACGGACAGTTTATGCATGACTAAGAGTGATACCAGAGGAATGACAGACAACATGTATAATTTCTCCAGCAAAATGGGAAAGATGATGATAGGAATTAACAAAATAAGCCTGTCGAGTATACCGGGGCAAACACGGAGTGGAGACATCATGGAAAGAAGTGTAACATATGCAGTGTGGGTTAAGAAAAGTAAGAAAGTGTGGATATCAAGAATTTACGTAAATGATCAATAGTAAAATATATTCTGGAGTAGAGGAAGACTTTGCTTGTGGAGTGTATAGGTCTATTAGAGTATGTGATAGTGTATAGTAGGTCATGTGAGTTTTCACAGAAGAGAGATGTGAGATGTGCTGGATATGTATGGGAGTAAACATGAAATTACTGAATGCTGGCCAAAATATTTATCGAGAGAAAGCAGCATGTGTTTTTAAAAGAGTTAGTCAAGAAAAGATAAAAAAATAGTTACAAGTGGAAGGAAGACTGAGTCAAGGATATGTACAGTAATGTCACCAAGTTTGTTCAAAGATTTTCTCAAGTGGGGTTGAAGGTGAGGCGAGAGTCAGAATGATAGTGAAGGGGGTGAGCAAGTTAGGGGAGATGAGTCAACTGCTGTACGTATATGAATGATATTGTTCAGGTAAGTAGTTTATAAGGAAATTTACAAATGTTGGGAAATAAGTGTGGATGAATGTATTTCAGAAACTAGTGAGTGGACATGCCGACAAATGTAACAGTATATGATGAATTGAATTGCAGAGTAGTGAAGGGAAAGACAGCAACAAGTAAATCAATAAATGTGCAAAGAAAGAGATTTGGTTGATGGTGATGTAATGTACGAGGAATTACCGAGGTGACAATATTATAGATGGGACAGTGATGCAAGAGGAAGGATCAATTTAGAAGTGATTGAAATGACATCCTCAAGAATAACGTGTAGGTTAAATAACACAGAAATATGGAGGTACGGTATGTGTTGGGCAGAGACAGGAGGGGGGGGTCAGATCACGTGGTACAGGAATACAGGAGTAAAAAAAAAAAAAAAAATGTCCGGAATGTTGTGAGGATAATAACATGATTTGAGTTGGAGGACGTCCATGAAACAACAATGTGCCTGACTGAATACTACTGTACCTATAAAGTGGGTGATTGAGAGCCTTATTGGGGAAGGGGACTACCAAGGTGTCTATTATAACAGTATGAATAAATGAATCATAGTTAATGAAGGGAGAGTCTGTATGTTTGCTCTTGATTTTGTTCCACCTGCAGGGTACAGAAGCAGGAGAGGATTGGAAAAAAAAACTAAATTTGGTCATTTCTTCAGCCTGCATCTAACCTAACCTACAAACCTATCCACCCCCAAACTTGTGCCTAGTGGACCACGTTCAGCGGTAATTACTGAGCTCTGGCATTTATTTTAGCTGGAGTGATTAAAACCTCTGAGTTTGGTTGAAAACATGAGGTGAAATACACTCCCCTGACTGCAACTTAAAGTTGAACCTGATTACAAACACCCCGAGTGAAATTTATCATGGGTGATATCAACAATAAAGTAAAGACCCAGAATTTCAACTTACCAAATTTTGTATTTGAACAAAAGATCACAAATGAAAAAAAGAAAGAAAAAAGTTTGAGACATTATATGATTTTGCTGGAAAATATTGGAAAATAAATATACTGTATGAAAAACAAAGAATTATAAAATACATGTTGATGAATAAAAGGATCAATATTTATAAAACAAATTGTATAAAATAGGCAAAACGTGACTAATATTTTTGTTAGTGTAAAGTATACTAAATAATTCACCCCATTTCTTGAAGGGCCCAACTCTTTCTTTTATTTTTAATTGCTACTGTAATGTTTATTAATATATTTATAATTACTGTAATATCATGTATTTCAAACAAGGTAGTACAGACCAGCTTGCTTAATACAGTACAGTATTGTAATCACATTCATCAGAGTGGGACACTTCTAAATGCATACTGGTAAAATAAATGACAACAAAATAAAGAAAATTACTGTTACTTCAAACATCAAATATAATAAACAACATGCAAATACTGTACTACCAATTATCTTCCAAAAATCTCAATAGTCAACACCTATGACCACACACAAGCTACGAGGTCCATCGTTATGTAGAGTGCTGCTATGCATTAAAAGTTTTAAATTTTTATCATTCATCCTGAAATCCCCTTCTCTGGCCGAGTTGATATAATACTCCCAACTCTTTTAATAATCTTTTTTTCTCCACTGGAAGGAATACACAGTTAAAAGAAGAGCAAGTCTACTGTGAGCTCTGCAAACGTTTGAAGTCCACAGGGTTTTCAGGATATTTCTAAAAGTATAAAGGACTCGGTAGTACAGCCCTGAGGATACCAAGTCCTACTAGGCACGCAGAGGAAGAGGTATTTGTAAACTAACGCTGCAGACAGAGGAACTAAGTAATTCACTACAGGTAATTCTGATGCATAACACTATGGGAACTCGAAAAATATAACACAGTTCGCTACAGACTATATATATACAGTATATATCATTAGGGTCTCAAACTCAAGCAGGTTTAAAAAAAGGTCACTAACAAATCATATTTCCATATTTTTACCTAAAGAGGATTTATCAAGATCAAACTCTAAGAAGGGTGAGGGACATTAAACACACACACACACACGCGCGTGCAGTGCTGAAGGCATCACACCTGGTGCTCTCTGTGCTGGGCGAGTGTTGTATTGGCTTGACAAGGGGCCTGCAGGGGAGCTGCCTTCTCGCTGATTATTGTCATGGTAGTCTTACTAGTGGAATCTGAAGTCTGTGTCATGGTCAGAGTGTGAGTCTGTCGGGTCTGGGTCGTATTAGTGCTTGGGGAACTAGTGATAGTTACTTGGTCTGGGAGATTTGGGGTTAAAGAAAGATATGTGCTCTCATCAGTCCAGTTTGCTAAACCATGAGGAACGTCAGCCTGCATGATTTCAGTCTGATATGTTCTCGCTGGGCGACCACCTTTATCGTCAGAAGCTGGTGGAGGCCCATGAGATGACCCAGAGGCATCATCGTCATCCTCATCCTCATCATCACCCTTCTCCAAAAGTTCACTCACCAGATCAACCTTAGCTATCTTGAGCTTGGCTAACATTTCAAAGTAGTTCTTCTCAGCATCGTTGTACATCCACTGGTTGCACACGAAGAAGTCATGAGTGGCATTCTTCTGTAGGACTTCTTCCCGATCCATTTGACGCAGAATCTCGTCCACCTCCTGTTCTGCCTCTGACACACGTGAGCGGCTACGTTTATGGTGTCTCTCCTTGAATCTATACGCTTTTTCAAGAGCTGGAAGAACAGGCTCTTCTGTTTCACTTTTTACATCTTGCTCATCTGCTACAGGTGGTTCTGGTTTAACTTCTTCTAATTCCTGAACAATTTCTACTTCTGGTAATTCCATTCTTGGTATATAAGGCACAATATCTTTCACGCTATCTTCAGGATCCTCTGAACACGATGATCTCAATCGACGACGACGCTCTTGCTTTGACACATATTCAGTGAAACCTTCTTCATCTGTTGCTGTAGGCACCTGTGGTCTGGGAGCTGGTTCTTCATCAGCAACTACAACCTTGACTGTCTTGGTATGGTACAGGATGAAGGATCTTTCATCCTTGGGTGCCTCCTCCTCTTCCTCCTTGACGACTGGTTTCCCACGAGCCACAACAGCAGCCCATGAAGTGGCACCCTCAGCCCGTGCCAAATATTCCTGATAGCTAGTCTCGGCTTTCTGGATGGCAGGCATGTCATAACTCATTACAGTTGAAGTTTCAGGAATTATGGGAGCCGAGGACTCTGTTTCTCCAGAAGTCTGATCATTTATTATCCTCTCTGGTGATAAGACAAACTGGTCCTTCATGAGCTGTGACTTATCTGATTGGACCAGATATTCCTGGTACTCAGTTTCAGCATGCAGGATGGCAGAGTGGTCATACCTCTCAGAGTCACTGATGAGAACATCATCGGTTATTGCTAATATCTGTGGGCCAAGTTCAGTTGATGTTGGTTCAGTATCATCGGCAGATGATGTTGGTTCAGTAACATCAGCAGATGATGTTGGTTTAGTAATATCGGCAGATGATGTTGGTTCGGTAACATCGACATATGATGTTGGTTCGGTAACATTGGCAGATTTCTGCGGCAAAGTAATTTCATCCACTACAACTGTCTCCTCCTTAGAATGTGTGGAGACTTCTGCTTCCTTTTCACGATCTAAAGTTTCTTCTACTGCAGTCGTCTGTCTTTTGCTCAGATATTCATAAAACCTTGACTCAGCTTCATTAATTGCTGCCATGTCATATGAGAAGGATGAGGTTAGCTCAGGAATGGTACATTCACTAGTAGCATGAGTGAGAGGTGGGGAAGAATGCAAGGTGGTGGTAGTAGTGGGTGTTGCTGGAAGGGTGGGAACAATGTACTCTTCTTGTGTCTGACTTGTTGTCACATCTACTTGGCTTGGAATTTCAGGCTCAAGAATAGTGTCAGGAGCCTCTTCTTCACTTGGAATATTTTGCTCCAGGACAGTGTCAGGAACCCTGGCCATCATTTCATAATATTTTCGTTCACTATCATCCGCGAGACACTTCTCATACCAGAAGGAGTCGTGGATGGCATATTTTTGTAACAGCTCCTCACGACCCATGTAGCGAAGAATATCATCTACTTCTCTTTCAGCTTCTGATACACGATGACGCTGGCTTCTTCTGTGACTGTCATGGTGCTTCCTTGACCTCACTGATATTTCAATTGTTTCCACCATACTTTCTTCTTCGACTGGTTTCACTTCAGGCTGATTCTCTACTGTTTCTTGCACCTCCACCTGCTCTGGTTCTTCTACAATCTCTACTTCTGGTAATTCTATTCTTGGAATATAAGGCACAATGTCTTTCACAGCCTCTTCAGGCTCTTCAGAGCAAGACGAACGTAATCGACGCCGCCTTTCTTGCTTTGAGACAAATTCTGTGAAGCCTTCTTCATCTGCTGACACAGGCACCAGTGGTTTAGGCGGTTCTTCATCTGTAACCACAACCTTGACCATTTTGGTCTGGTACAAGATGAAGGACTTCTCGTCCTGGGGTGTCGTTACCTCCTCTTCTACAACTACTGGCTTCCCAAGAGCAACAACACTAGCCCAAGAAGTGGTTTCTTCAGTCTGAGCCAGATACTCCTGATACTTAGTCTCTGCCATGTGGATGGTAGGCATGTCATAACTACTTATTGATGATGACGCTTCAGGTATTGGCAGAACTGGGGGACTGGGAACTACCTGCTCTCCATTTTTCTTTACAGTGATATGTACTTCTGGATCATGCTTCTCTTCACAGATTTGTTCTGTCTGTATCTTTGGTAAATCTGGGGTATCTTCTCTCTCAGCTAGCTTCTCTGACTGTACCAAGTATTCCTGGTACTGTGTCTCAGCCTGGAGAATATGTGGCATGTTATAGCTGATCTGTTCATGTTGTACAGTATCTTTATCTGTTGCTGGTGTTGGCTGCTGGGACTCTATTACATTATTTTCAGTCTCGACCACCTCCTCTGATTGCACCAAGAACTCTTGATATTGAGTTTCAGCTTGCAGGAGTTCTGGCATATTATAACTGGCCTTTTCATGTTGAATAAATGTAGATTTTCCTGATGTTTGTTGTGAATCAGGTAAACCTACATTATCTTCAGCCTTAATTTCTTTCTCTGACTGCACCAAGGATTCCTGATACTGTGTCTCAGCCTCTAGAATTTCTGGCATATTATAATGGGCCTTCTCATGTTGTAGAGCTTCTTCAACTGTTGGGGATGTCTGTTGTGGCTCTACTTCAGGCAAAACTGTTTCTTCTGTCTCAACCAATTTATCTGTCTGTACTAAATACTCCTCGTACTGTGTCTCAGCCTCCCTGATCAATGACATGTTATATCCCTTTACATGTTGGTGGGCATCAATCACCAGTGATGCTTGTGATACCGATACTGCTTCATTCTTATCTGTCACAGTTTTGTCTCTAGCTTCAACTCTATCAATCACAGTTTTGTCTTTAGCTTCAACTCTATCTACCACAGTTTGTGTAACTCCTTGACTATTTTCCTCAACAGTTTCAACTATGAGACTTGTACCCATCACAGGATTGTCGCATTCCACAATATGGCATTCTGTGACTGATGACTCAGGAGTGTGAGTTTCCTCTGGAATAAGAGATTTCTTTTGTAGTTGTGAGACATATTCATAGTACTTAGTCTCAGACTCTTGAATTTCCTTCATGTCATATCTTGTGGAATCTAAGTCAACAGGCGTCTGTTTCACTGAAATAACCTCTACAGATTGTGGTACTGAATTTGTTGGTTCTGGAGTAACTTCTGCTTGCATATTTACAGTCCCTGTTGTTGTTGACATGAAGTCCACTGTCTCAGTTATTGTTTCTGTTGACACATGGGTAATTTCAGTCGTTTGTGTTTCTGGTTCCTTTGTTACTGGAACTTCTAATGCTGCTGGAAGTTCTACTGTTGCTGGAATATCTACTGCTGCTGAAACTTCTACTGCAGCTGGCACTTCTGCTGCTGCTGGAACTTCTGCTGCTGCTGGAACTTCTACTGCTGCTGGAACTTCTACTGCTACTGGCACTAACTCTCTCTGCTTGGCAACAGTTTTTTGTGACAATGGATTATCTTCTACTGCTGGTTCCATCACATCAGGCTGGACTTCAATTTCGTGGGAGTCAACAACAGGAACAGGTGGTTTATTTTCCTCTTTGGACTTTGTAACAAGATACTTCTGGTAGTACGTTTCAGCGTCACGTATACCAAACACGTCATACCACAGCTCAGAACCAAGATAAAAAGCGGCAGACAGTTTATGTTCATACTCGATCACATCCTTGGGTTTTGGGGGCGCCTCTCCTCTTTCAATTGCCGCAACTATCTGATCTATCTCCTGCTCCGACTCAGACATCTTGGATGATCTCTTTGACCTTGATCTTTGCCTCGATTTACTTCTCTTGGGTCTTGGTAATTCAAGGAAACTTATTTCACCCTCACTCTCGACTTCCTCCATGTCTGCACTCATCACTTCCTTTATTGCTTCTTTCGTAATCTTAATGGGGTCCTTCTTGGTGACTTCTTCCATGATGGCTTTTACAGTCTCCTCAATTTCCTCGGTAATGCCAGAAGTGCTGTGAGTCTTTCTCCTGTATCTCTCCCTCTTGGACACAAATGCTGTAAATCCTTCCTCATCCACCTCAGCAGCAACTTTGTCATTTTCATTAGAACTCTCCTCCTTCTGCACAATAGTTGGGGTGTGGAAAACATAAGGCTTCTTGGAGTCTTCAGTTAGTTCCTCTGCAACGACAGCCGGAGCATGAATGAGAATGTTGGCGTATGATTTTGACTGACTTGACCCCACAGGTTCCAAGTGCTCAGAGGTCCCCGCAAAGCTGAACCCAGAGTCATCTTCTGACTGAGGTTCATGCCAACTGCTGTCAGGGAGCCCCATGTCTGGAGGCACACTGATCTCACTCTCTTCTGGAGTGACTTCCAGACTCTCCATCGACTTGTCTTCAATGGTGGTTGTAACGAGTGAAAGGTCTTCTTCTACCGTTGCAGCCCCATGACCAGAATCCCCTTCTTCTGTTCTGTCCTCATCAGGAAGCTCTTCTTCATCTTCTAGAGTAAATCCACCATCTTTGATGATGTCCATCCAATCATCAACATGTTCAGGCATGGGAAGTGCAAACTTAGGCTTGGGCTCCACCGGTTGCTGAACAGGTTGGTTACCATTGGGAGCTTCTAATTCAGATGTCATGGCTTCTTGAAGGGCTTCTTCAATGTTAGGCACAATTTTCTGTAATCCAAGCGATTCTTCCTTACCAGATGGTTCTTGGTGCTTTGAAATGTCTTCCTCTAATACCAAGCATTCCAAGTCAAATTCCTTTGACACAAGTCCATTTTCAGGAACAGGTTCAACAGTCTCTGACACAGTAACTCCTTCCACTGGTTTCTTCTCCATTGTTTCTTCTTCCCCTGGACGGGGAACCATTTCAAATTCTTTAGAAGATTCAAGATGAATTTTTTCTTCCAAAATATTTGTTTCCTCTTGTGGCTTTGTCTGAACATCTTGTTCTTTCACAGCCAAGACTTCAGGTTGAGATTCTTTTATAGGTTCAGCAAGTGGAACTACAGCTTCCACTGGCTCTTCTCTCTCATCATCAGTATCTTCAACCAAAGGCTTTTGCTGAACTTCTGTTCTTAGCATTAAAAGTTTGTCCAGTTCTTCTTCAACCTTAACCTCATCTCTGGCTTCTGGGGGAGTATGATCACTATCATCTTGGTTGTCCACACTTTCAGGTGTCAGATATCCTTCCTGAGACTCTAAGTTTTCCGCTTCTCTGGATAATTCTGTGTCATCATAATTCTTATCTTTAGGGTCACTGTCTCTATCCTCGTCACCTTTCTTACCCTTTCCTTTCTTTGGCCTCTTCTTTTTATTCTTATAATACTCATCCCCAGGCACTAATGGAAGTACACTACTTGCAAATACACTTGAGGAATCTTCTTCCATGAGCTGTGAGTGTCTGCCATGTGATGTGCCAGGAACAGAGTCTTTTGAGTCCGTACCGTAACTAATATCACTTAAAGTACTTTCAAGGGGCGCACTTTTGGTCTTAAACAGCTGTTTTCGCTCTTCAAGTGGAGTTTTGATCTTTTCCTCTGTGCTGGAAGTGCGAGTTATTGGTCTCTGTCGCATCCACTGAGGAGTTAAAATAATCTCATTGGGGTCATCGATTGGATTATGTGGACTAGTGGGACGTGGATTTCCTGGATTAACGGAAAGGATTGCTGTCATAAAGCCCTCGGGCTCTGTTGGCGCTTGCGTGATCTTGGAGAAGTCAGCTTCAACTGGCATCTTGGGCTTTGGATGTGGGTTTTCAGTTGGAACATTCTCATCTACACTAAGCTGCACCACAGCAATTTCTGATTCTGTTGTCTGCTCTGTAATCTTTGGTACAACATCACTCTTTTGTTTTGTGGGAGACTCTGGTTTTTGTTCTTTAATTTTGGGTACAGAGTCAGTCTTTTTCTTCACTGGGGACTCAGGCTCCAGCTCCTCAACAGATGTCTTCATTATCACATCTGCGAGGTCAGTCTCAACAACGCTGGTCACTTCAACATTCCCTCTCTTGTCTCTCTTTGAGGGTTTTTCTTTTTCAATTTTTGATATTTCTTGCAGAGCTTTTTCAATTTCATCTTCCTCTTCTTTTGCCTTAAGCTTTTTCTTTTTCTTCTTCTTCTCTGGTTTCTCAGGTTGCTTTGGTGATTGAGCTGATTCCTTATCAGACTTCTTAACAGTTATCTCCTCAGAAACCACATCAGTCTGCACAGTGCTGGTTGGTTCACTTACAGTCTCAGAGGCTTGCACTTTTTCCAATACCTTCTCTGCCTGTTTTGGTGGCTGAGTTTCCTTAGTCTCGGGTGGCACTTCAGGGTTTGTGTGCTCAGTGGCAGCTGGCTCTGGTTCTGATTCACTACCCATCTTCCTGCGGCGCTTCTTCTTCTTGGAAAAAATCCCCTCAAACCCGTCAGCATCCTTCTTGGCTTCAACAAGAGGATTCTCTTCGGTGTGATCTTCCACAACTGATGGCGGGGCTCGGTACTGGTATGGTTTCTTAGGCTCTTCCTTAGGTTCCTCTTTGGCAACAACTTTACCAAATGACAAAGCACATGCATAAGAAAAATTGTCCCCATCTTGTGGTTTCTGTGGTTCTCCTTCAGGGATAGTTTGTTTGGAAGATTCAGTTGTCTCTTTAACTGGTAATTTTTCCTGTTTTGGCTCCTGTTGTGATGTATCAGTGGGATGAACCAAGTGTTGAGGCCGAGTGACAGCCGACCATGTTTGGGTGTTAACCACTGAATCTGGAGTTTCCTTGTGCTTTGTTATAATGGCTGGGAGGTCCTCAGTTGTCTCAGGGAGTTTTTCCTCATCAGATTCTGAATCGAGTGTGAAACCTCCACCTTCTATTATTTCCATGAAATCATTAGCATGATCAGGAATGGGAAGACCAAAGACAGGACGAGTCACTTGAGTATCAGCAGCAATGTCTAGCTTCTCTGGCACAGTGGTGGCTGTGGAGGAAGGAACACTAGTGTCAGGCTCAGGTTGTCTGGCAGGTTCTTCAGCTATTGGTTCCTCATCTTCATCATCAAGGGTAAATCCGCCCTCTTTTATTATTTCTAACCAGTCATCTGCATGATCAGGAAGAGGAAGGCCAAATGGTTTAGGCATCACTGGGTTTTTGCAAGATTCTGGCTCTTGTACTTTAGGATTTTCTACATCTTTTCTCTCTCCTGCAGGCACAGGAGCACTAACACCAACAAACAGTTCTTGTTCTTTTCCTGGTTGCTTTTTGTCACTAACTTCTGGGCTGATAAACACATTAGTAGTAACTTGTGTAGAGGTCTGTGAGATGGCTACCTCTTGTTCTTCTTCTTCATCATCCAGTGTAAAGCCTCCTTCTGCAATAATTTCCATCCAGTCATTGGCATGATCTGGTACGGGAAGATTAAATAATGGTTTTTCTTGTGGTTTCTCCTCCACTTGAGGCTCATTGACTGATGGTGGCTCTTTAGCCACTTGAGGAGGAGTAATCTCAGGCATGTTTACTTCAGGGGCAGTTGGTTCATCTTCATCCTCAAGTGTGAATCCTCCTTCCTCCAGGATTTCTAGCCAATCGTTGGCATGATCAGGCATAATCAGCCCAAATGCAGGTTTAGCATCTACAGCTTCTTCAGTAGAGCGGGGTTTAGATTCTTTGACATTATCAGATTCATGTAGGATAACGTTCTCAACACGACCTACACCAACGGCTAGTGGGGTAGACACCAATTTGCTTTCCTGTATTCGCACTGTGTCATCTTTGGGTGATATTTCCCGAACTAGCTCTGGGACAGTGACAGGTACATCAGTCGACTCGAGAACGGTACAAACTTCTGGTTCATCTTCATCTTCGAGTGTAAAGCCCCCTCCCTCAATTAACTCCATCCAGTCATTAGAATGGTCTGGTAATGGTAAAGCAAATACAGGTTTTGCCCCTACTGCACCCTCATGTGTGGTGTCACTAGTGTTTGTTTTGGCTATATGAGGAGTGGGTGTTTCCTCCATTAATTCACACGGTTTATATACCTCTAGTTCGGTTTCAACAGGCTTGCCTTCAATCATCACAATCCTTTTAACTGTTTTCGTTTTGGCTTTCTCTACAGACACAACACTGTCCTCTAAATGTTCACATTTTGGTTCTGCCAATACCACTTCACTTGCCACCTCATGCGTAGTATTTACACCATTCATTTTCACACTACTGTCTTCAGGTTCCTCCACCACTTCCTCAGTCTCCACTGGTTTACCATCTACCATAATAATCTTCTTAATTATTCTCCTTCTGATGATTCTGTGAGTAGTGGTCACCTCAGGCTCTGTGATGGTCTCAGTAATCATTGAGTCAGCTGACACCTTTTTCAAGCATTTCCTCAGTGACTTCTTCAGGTTCCTCCACCACTTCCTCAGTCTCCACTGGTTTACCATCTACCATAATAATCTTCTTAATTATTCTCCTTCTGATGATTCTGTGAGTAGTGGTCACCTCAGGTTCTGTGATGGTCTCAGTAATCACTGAGTCAGCTGGGAGACCTTGTAGCATTTCCTCAGTGACTTCTTCAGGTTCCTCCACCACTTCCTCAGTCTCCACTGGTTTACCATCTACCATAATAATCTTCTTAATTATTCTCCTTCTTATGATTCTGTGAGTAGTGGTCACCTCAGGTTCTGTGATGGTCTCAGTAATCACTGAGTCAGCTGGGAGACCTTGTAGCATTTCCTCAGTGACTTCTTCAGGTTCCTCCACCACTTCCTCAGTCTCCACTGGTTTACCATCTACCATAATAATCTTCTTAATTATTCTCCTTCTTATGATTCTGTGAGTAGTGGTCACCTCAGGTTCTGTGATGGTCTCAGTAATCACTGAGTCAGCTGGGAGACCTTGTAGCATTTCCTCAGTGACTTCTTCAGGTTCCTCCACCACTTCCTCTGTCTCCACTGGTTTACCATCTACCATAATAATCTTCTTAATTATTCTCCTTCTTATGATTCTGTGAGTAGTGGTCACCTCAGGCTCTGTGATGGTCTCAGTAATCACTGAGTCAGCTGGGAGACCTTGTAGCATTTCCTCAGTGACTTCTTCAGGTTCCTCCACCACTTCCTCAGTCTCCACTGGTTTACCATCTACCATAATAGTCTTCTTAATTATTCTCCTTCTTATGATTCTGTGAGTAGTGGTCACCTCAGGTTCTGTGATGGTCTCAGTAATCACTGAGTCAGCTGGGAGACCTTGTAGCATTTCCTCAGTGACTTCTTCAGGTTCCTCCACCACTTCCTCAGTCTCCACTGGTTTACCATCAATAATGACAATTCTCTTGATAATTCTCTTGCGAATAACTCTTCGAGTGGTTGTTGTGGTCACCTCAGGTTTTGTGGTGACAGTATACACTGCAGTACTGGTGTTTCCTGAAGGTGTTTTTGCCACTGTTCCCTTTGTCAAAGCTGGCTTGTCTCGGAGAGTTCTAGTTACCTCAGGTTCTGTGATGGTCTTAGTAATCACTGAGTCAGCTGGCAATTTTTCAAGCATTTCCTCAGTGACTTCTTCAGGTTCCTCCACCACTTCCTCAATCTCCATTGGTTTACCATCTACCATAATAATCTTCTTAATTATTCTCCTTCTGATAATTCTGTGAGTAGTGGTCACCTCAGGCTCTGTGATGGTCTCAGTAATCATTGAGTCAGCTGACAGCTTTTCAAGCATTTCCTCAGTGACTTCTTCAGGTTCCTCCACCACTTCCTCAGTCTCCACTGGTTTACCATCTACCATAATAATCTTCTTAATTATTCTCCTTCTTATGATTCTATGGGTAGTGGTCACCTCAGGCTCTGTGATGGTCTCAGTAATCACTGAGTCAGCTGGGAGACATTGTAGCAATTCCTCAGTGACTTCTTCAGGTTCCTCCACCACTTCCTCAGTCTCCACTGGTTTACCATCTACCATAATAATCTTCTTAATTATTCTCCTTCTTATGATTCTATGGGTAGTGGTCACCTCAGGCTCTGTGATGGTCTCAGTAATCACTGAGTCAGCTGGGAGACCATGTAGCATTTCCTCAGTGACTTCTTCAGGTTCCTCCACCACTTCCTCAGTCTCCACTGGTTTACCATCAATAATGAGAATTTTCTTGACAATTCTCTTGCGAATAACTCTTCGAGTGGTTTTTGTGGTCATCTCAGGTTCTGTGATGGTCTCAGTAATCACTGAGTCAGCTGGGAGACCATGTAGCATTTCCTCAGTGACTTCTTCAGGTTCCTCCACCACTTCCTCAGTCTCCACTGGTTTACCATCAATAATGAGAATTTTCTTGACAATTCTCTTGCGAATAACTCTTCGAGTGGTTTTTGTGGTCATCTCAGGTTCTGTGATGGTCTCAGTAATCACTGAGTCAGCTGGGAGACCATGTAGCATTTCCTCAGTGACTTCTTCAGGTTCTTCCACCACTTCCTCAGTCTCCACTGGTTTACCATCTACCATAACGACAATCTTTATAATTCTCTTACGGGTGACTCTACGCTTTGTATTGAGTGATGCAGATGACACAGCAACACCTCTCTCGGTGGAATGATCAACAATGTCATGGCTATTTGTGGGTTTTTCTGGAACAGCTCCTTGTCTGTCCTGGGGCTGGTCAAGGTCCATAGGCTCAACAGTGGACCTTACTGTGTCTGCTATAGTTCCATTGTTCACAGCTCTACTACTGGTGGGCTCATCACTTAACACAGGCTTACCATCAACCATGATAACTTTTACTTTCCTTTTTCTAATGATTTCACGAGTTCTTGAAGTTTCTGGTCCTGCGAGGGATTCGTTCATCACCGAGTCTGTTGGCAAGCTTTCCATCATCTCCTCCGTAACTTCCTCGGGTTCTTCAACCACTTCTTCTGTTTTAATTGGTTTACCATCAACAGTAACTACCTTTTTGATGATTCTCCTTCTGATGATTTTACGACTGGTTCTCACTTCCGGTTTTGTAACAGTTTCAGTAATCACTGAGTCAGCTGGGAGACCTTGTAGCATTTCCTCAATGACTTCTTCAGGTTCCTCCACCACTTCCTCAGTCTCCACTGGTTTACCATCAATAATGACAATTCTCTTGATAATTCTCTTGCGAATAACTCTTCGAGTGGTTTTTGTGGTCACCTCAGGTTCTGTGATGGTCTCAGTAATCACTGAGTCAGCTGGCAATTTTTCAAACATTTCCTCAGTGACTTCTTCAGGTTCCTCCACCACTTCCTCAGTCTCCACTGGTTTACCATCTACCATAATAATCTTCTTAATTATTCTCCTTCTGATGATTCTGTGAGTAGTGGTCACCTCAGGTTCTGTTATGGTCTCAGTAATCACTGAGTCAGCTGGGAGACCTTGTAGCATTTCCTCAGTGACTTCTTCAGGTTCCTCCACCACTTCCTCAGTCTCCACTGGTTTACCATCAATAATGACAATTCTCTTGATAATTCTCTTGCGAATAACTCTTCGAGTGGTTGTTGTGGTCACCTCAGGTTTTGTGATGGTCTCAGTAATCACTGAGTCAGCTGGCAGTTTTTCAAGCATTTCCTCAGTGACTTCTTCAGGTTCCTCCACCACTTCCTCAGTCTCCACTGGTTTACCATCAATAATAACAATTTTCTTGATAATTCTCTTGCGAATAACTCTTTGAGTGGTTGTTGTGGTCACCTCAGGTTTTGTGGTGACAGTATACACTGCAGTACTGGTGTTTCCTGAAGGTGTTTTTGCCACTGTTCCCTTTGTCAAAGCTGGTTTGTCTCGGAGAGTTGTAGCCACCTCAGGTTCTGTGATGGTCTCAGTAATCACGGAGTCAGCTGGGAGACCTTGTAGCATTTCCTCAGTGACTTCTTCAGGTTCCTCCACCACTTCCTCAGTCTCCACTGGTTTTCCATCAATAATGACAATTCTCTTGATCATTCTCTTCCTATTTGCTTTAATAATTTTCTCCTCAGATATTTGAGTTTTATGGTCTAGAGTAATGCGTCTCTTTTGAGGAAATTCCCCATGATTGAAACTTCCTTCCTCCTGGAGCACCACTGGGTCACTTGGACGATATGATATCGGAAATTCAGAGGCTGTCACCCTAACTGGAGATTTCTCCTTAGACTGAGAGACATCTAGTTTAAGGTCCTTTGACACCTCAGTGGAAATTGATTTAAGTCCCACGTCCGTAAGTTCCATGCAGGTGGTGGTTTGGTTAGAGATTGACCAGGTTGTGGTCGCCATCTCTGCTGGCACAACGTTTGTACCATCCTGAGAATATTGTTCTGGCTCGTTTTTCTCCCGTTTTGATGAAATGTCTCCAACCTTCCCAACAACAGCACTATCTTGTATGGTCTCAGAAGGGAAGGCGAAGGTCTGTACTGGAGATACAGAACTAGTATCTACAGGAGTTATTGGGGCTTGAGTGATTAAGTCAGGTAGAGGATCAAGTACAAGGTCAACAGGTACATCGTTAAGGGGATCGTTAGAGGACACTGCCACTTGCTCAGGTACTGATACAACTACAGGTTCCACAGTATGCTTAGGGACAACTGTTGGGGTGGACATTCTCTGCTCCTCCGTATGGACCTGCATGTCTTCCACCAAGGTTTCATCTGACTGCAACTGTGTCTGCATCTCACTCTCTTCTTTGTTGAAACTCACACCCTTTGTTTTCTTGAATTCTGTCTTGCGTTTTTCAGCCTCACTAGTCTTTACTGTAGGGCACACTTCTTTCTCTGGCTCACCAGTTTTGGTCTTCAGAACCTTCTTCTCTGTCTTCTCTGGTTTTGCTATGGGCTCTACTTTTGGCTGAGCTGTGGCCTCACTTGATGTTGGTTCAGTTGATTTGGATGCTGAGGTTGGCTCCATTTTTCTGGTCTTCTTGGAGCCTCGTCTCTTTGGTTTGTCATCCTCTACATGTGTAAGTTTAGAGGCTGGAGGAGGTTGAATCTTTCCACTTTTTTCCATCTCTTCAATTTCCCTCAGGGCCTTTTCCAAATCATCTTCTTGGTCTTTGGGGTTGGATCTATTTCGCTTCTTCTTCTTCTTGCGCTTGTCATCACTCTCGTGGACTTTCGGATCTTCAGGTCGACTGCTTTCTAGGACAGCACTTGAGACAGCTACATCAATTTTCTTAGTAACAATTTCCTGGTCTTTCTTGAGCTCCTTTTCTTCACACTTTTGGGGAAGAATTACACTGGTAGTTTCAGTTACAATTATATCTTTCTTTTGAGTGATTCGTGGTGATTGAGTCTTGGCTTCTTGAACTGGTACTGAGGTAACTGTGGTCTGGTCTAGCTTTGGTTGCTTTACCTTGATAGGTTTGTCTTCCCTCTTAATCACTTCCTTCTTCAGGGTATCTATAATTATTTCTTCTCTTTCCTTGACAGCTTCACCTGTGTCTGTGGGCGTTTCTCCTCGCTTTCTTCTGGCGCTCTTTGACCTAGAGCGTCTGTCTGATCCTTCTTTGAACACAAGGCCAGGAATATAGTGTTCCATCCGTTGCGATTCTTCCATTTTCTTGGGTTCTTCGGATTCTTTCACAGCTGTCACTTCGATCTTGGGCTCATAGGACCTCTTTTTGCCTCTTGATCTATCGTGGTTGAAGGTGGGAGCTTGAGTTACAGTCGTCTGCTGTTCAATGTTGGGTTTGCTGGGAGCTTCCACATACTCCACTTTCTGTTCAGTAGGTGCCACTTTTTCAGGTGGAGGTGGTCCCTTGACATATGACATGACTGACTTCAAGGCTCCATAAGTGTGAGTGACGACAGCTGAGGGGGCAGCCTTAAGACCCATGGCAAGGATTTGAGCATAAGACAACTTTGACTTATCTACTGACTCCGATGTTATGGGAGTCTTATCTATTGACTCTATTGTTATGGGAGTCATATCTATTGATTCTGTTGTCATGGGAGTCTTATCCATTGACTCTGTTGACATGGGATTCTTATCTATTGACTCTGTTGTCATGGGAGTCTTATCTATTGAATCTGATGTCATGGGAGTCTTATCTATTGACTCGGATGTTATGGGAGTCATAACTGCTTCACTGACACATGGCTGTTTTGGTTCAATAACTGCCTGGTCTTCGGTACCTTCTTCAAGAGAGGAAGGTTCAAATACCATGGATGGGACTTCTTCTTCAGCCTCCATTTCTTCCTCATCCTCCTGGTATTGTTCAGGGGTCTCTGGAGGGGTCATCATGGGTGGGGTCACAGTGGGTTGGGTTGTCATCATACTTATCATGGGGGTTTCTTCAGAAGGTGACTGGTCAAGGGTAGCACTTGAGAACTCATTAGTAGCTTCGCTCGTCTGTTGATAGTCGCCCACTTGTCCAAATGACTGGACGCCAAAACCCTCCGGAATATAACTTGTAGTAACTGGGAACTGACTCATTCCCTGGTAAAAATTCATAGTATCGATGTTGCTGTTGATAACAATACCCTGCATTGAATTTTCCATTGCCTGGATAGGACTCTGAATTGTTTGTACATCCATGGAGTACCCATGCTGGAACATGGAGGCGGTGACAGCTTGTTGGTAGGCGGGGTCATGGGGCTGGGATATCTCAACACCTTCTGGTAAGAAAGTGGTTTGTTCAATATAGTCAGGGTATTGTGGCATAACCACAGCAGGCACCTCTTCTACCTGTTGAGTCACAGGTTGTGGTTCTACGTCCTCACCTACAGGTACAATGTCTTCAGGCATGGTATATTCCTGCTGAGGAACTTCAACATATTCTAAAGTTTCACATACACTGGTCGAAGACTCAGTCACAGTCGAGGCTATAGTTTGTACAGCTGATTCGGTAATCTGACTAGAAACCTCTGTTAAAGTGACTTCTTGTACTTCAGGTTGAGCTTGTATGTCTGACAGCATTACTGCCTCCTCTACATCATGTTCTCTTTCCTGTCTTGCTTTCATTTCGTGTCTACCTTTCAGAATTTCAGCATAAGTTGTTTTTCCATCCCACATGGTGGTAGGCAGAGCCCGATATGACTTCACTTCTTCAACACTGGTTAGAGGCTGGTCTTGTTCATCTACTTTTGACATTTTCTCTTGTTCTCGCCGGTGTACTTGTGGGCTTGACTTTGGACTCTCTGCTGGACTTGATTTAGGGGTCACCATCGGGGTGTCTTTTGGACTTTCTTGTGGACTCTGCTTAGGCCTGGTAGAGGAACGTCTTGGACTACTCCTCTGGCTGTTTCTACGACTCGGAGCATCATAGTAGACTTCCTCTTGCGGTTCTGTCGGGTTCTGGCGGTCAGGCTGCTGTTCCACAGGTTGTTTTTTACGGTAGCGACGATCTCGCTGTTGTACACGTCGGGTAGTCTTGGCATCTTGCTCGAAACTCTGAGACTTCTGAGTCTTGGCAAACTGTTGCTGACGATTCCTTCGGTCACGAACTTGCTTATCGTCTTTGTGAGCAGCCGGTGAGGCCTGACTGGTGACAACAGCAGGTTCTTCTACGGCGGGGGATTCACTTGGTGGTTCCACAATAATTTTCTCTTCTTTTATTGATTCAGCAACTAGAGTCGGCGTTGCAGGTAGAGATGATGACACTTGACTCATTACAACCTGTGTAACTACCTGCTGAGTTGATGTAACTTGGGGTACGATAGGGTCTGCACTGTAGGTCTGGCTGAAGACACTAGGACTCTTCCGTCCCGCAGCAACATCTGCCCACGTGAGTTGCAACCCAGCCTCTGGGGTACTGATCACGGTGCGTGCTTGCTGCTGAGTGGCGGTCCTTACCGCCACGCCCGTCAAAGTCTTCACCTCAGAATCCAGGATGTCACATTCACTAACTGGCATCTCCTGGGTGATGACCACTTGGACGTCTTGAGAGATGGGTTCGTTGAGGACGGTCCTGGGTTGCATGGGTGAGATCTGGGCCTCTTCCTCAGGGGGCGTATCAAGCGAAGAGGTAAGAGTGCTCGTTTCGGTCGTGTCTAGCGTTAGCTCGGTCGGAATCACCGCACTGGGGTCAATCTGGTAGATTCGTTCGGTGAGCTCGACAATGAGTCGTTGGTGAGATTCATACTGGCCTTGGAGCACCTGTGGTATGCAGTCCCGGCAAAGAAGAGTGGCATTGTGAGTGGATTGGAGACACACAAGCATTGCATAATACAATGTTTACAAATGTGTTAAAAAGGATTGGATGAAAGGGGCAAACTGTATGCTAGATATGACAGAGCCAGATTGGCAAATTGGAATGTATATCAAGGCTGCGTTTCATTTCCCTGTTCCCTAACTGGAAGAGGGAGGGAAGCACCACAGAAAAGGACAATAAAAAGTTAGGATGGTGGATGGATATGGGAGAGAGAGAGAGACAGAGAGAGAGAGAGGCAGGCGTCCTACTAGGTGTCAAGTGGCGCGGTGTCAGGAGTGCCCCGTTGGTTAAGAAGTTTGATACGCTCATTCCGCGCACTGATCTTGCACTGAATGGCTTTGATCCTCTCTCGGCAGGCCTGTGAGAGGATATTGAGTGCCAATGTTTCAGAAACCTACACCCAGAGAGAGCTTTTAAAGGGCTTTACATTACCTGTTATGTGAGGGGCGACTATTTTTTTTTGCCGTGCCAGGTGGTTAATTTTACCCATTACCTCATTAGTAATTTGAAAAGCCGGCTGTATGTATTCATTCATGTCTTGATAATAAAAGTCATCATCAATAAATTTCTGCATGATATATCAAAATTACAGAATAATTTTTTATGGGTTAAAAAGAGTGGGTTAAAAATTCAAAACTACACTAAAAAAGCGGCAGGTTAATGAACATCTAGTACAGAAGTGTTATATGCAGAGAGCAAGAACGAACTAGAGACGAACCACGCACGAGGTCACCACATCAAAATGCCTTGGGTGCCTGCTGCCTGGACCTCACCTACCTACCTCCTGCCTCACACGCTGTACCGTACACCTGTGTTATGTTGAGCGGTGCTTGTGTTTCATGTTGCAGGTGTCAGGGTAAACCGTGGATGTGTTCGATATTGCACCGTGGTAATGTTGGATGTTGCACACGTCATTTTCATTAGTGTCGTCATGATACACGAGTCATGTTGCACTATACCTGTATAGTCACATGACACAACATGTCACATGATGTGTGTGTCCTGCTACGCCAAGTTGGTGTTGTGTTGCATGACTCAGGGATTTGTATAACACATAGCACATGTTAAATGATGCATGTTGCAAGTAATGAATGACATGTTGTATGATGCATGGCAATATACAAGTTGCTACTTGAAACATACATGATACAGGAGATATATGCATGGGTACATGACAAACTGTACCGAACATTACACGATGCATGATATACAATATTGCAACGAACATGGCATTTAGCATAATGCATTGTATAAACATGAAGCATGTTGCAAGACAAGTGTGTGTGTGTGTGTGTGTGTGTGTGAGCAGTAGCAGCCTTGTGTCGAGGCAGCGAGGCAAGGCAGATAGTCTTACTGAAGTACCCAAGCAGTCAGTCACCCAATGGACGAGCAGATATATAGAGAGATAGAGAGAGAGAGAGAGAGAGAGAGAGAGAGAGGAGAGAGAGAGAGAGAGAGAGAGAGAGGAGAGAGAGAGAGAGAGAGAGAGAGAGAGAGAGAGAGAGAGAGAGAGGGAGAGAGAGAGAGAGAGAGGGAGAGAGAGAGAGAGAGAGAGAGAGAGAGAGAGAGAGAGAGAGAGAGAGAGAGAGAGAGAGAGAGAGAGAGAGAGAGAGAGAGAGAGAGAGAGAGAGGCCGGCAGTTACCCAGGTAATACTGGTGGTGGAGCGCAAGACGTTGTTGTTGTTATTGTTGTTATTATTATTATTATTATTATTATTATTATTATTAACATCATCAAGTATCGTAGCTTACTGGCAATATTCCCACAGTCGTAAACAAAGAGGATTCCTTGAGAACCCAGGAAACAAGAAATGGAAAGCAGCCACCTTATAACTCTAGATATTATACTCTTATACACTATTTCCCTTAATATACTACGTAAAAACATTATTAATATTACTTTCATTGTTTAATACTTATATACACCAACTAAGTGCATTAATTATTATTATTTTTTTAAGTCTGAGAGATATAACTACGGTTCTATTATACTAAGATTAAGTTACTTTATTTACTCATTAATCACGTCAGCTGCTCTTCACTGATAGAGTGAAAGTGCAGAAGAGTGCAGTTGAGAAAATACTACGAATATTGCACAATGCACAAACTGATCATTTGGTGGAACTACCAGGACAGCCAGGCTATAATATTACTTTATTAATAGAAGATTTAAAAATGTCTGTTCTCTTGATTTATTTAATGTTTAAAGTTAAACAAACGTTGACACTGAGGTGTGAGTAGGTGTTACAGTCACACGTGAGCTACTGTGTTGCGGCAGTTCTGTTAGTTCACCACCAATGGTCAGGAGTCAACAAAAGCCTCACACTTACGTTCTGCTCAGCTACTGCCTTGTCACGGTCACGGGGGCTGTAGGTGGGACTGGACACCAGCCTCAGCTGCTGCTCTACCCCGACCATCTGCTGCCGCAGTCGCTGGATCTCCTGTGTTGGTCACGAGGGGAGGACCCCAGTTAGAATATGCAAACAGACCTCTTGGTGGGCTACGGCCTGTAGTCGTGACTTTTATATAAAACATGAAGTTAAACTGAAGCAAATCGTAGCCCTGGTTATTGTCACTCATGACTTACCTGTTGGTAGGCGTCCATCTGGTGAACACACGCCTCCAGCGTCTTGCAGTCCTCCTTAACTGCTACCTGTAACTCCCCCAGGCGTAACTGCAGCTGTTCATTCTCATGGGACACCTGCGCCTCTGCACACATACGGTCACGGAAGTGCACCTGCAGCTTCTCCATGGCCATCACCAGTTTGGTCTTCTGGATCGTGACATCGGCCAAGGCCTTCTCACGAGCGGCCAACTGGTCACGCAGTGAGCGCTTCTTGTTCTGTGGGTTATCTAGCGACTGTCGCGTCTTCTCAATCCATCCCGCCACATCTTTGGACTTACGCTCACACTGTTCCCACTCTTCGCCCATCTCCTGAAGCAGTGCCATCACTTCCTTCAAGCTGCTCTCCACGTCAGCCTTCTCTTGTTCCATCTCCGCTTGCTTGTCCGTCAGTGGGCCAACATCGGAACACTGGCCAATCTTGGCTAGTTCGGCGGTCATCTCAGAGACCTGCTTGTTGGCCCACTTGCAATCCTTTACGGCAGCCTGCAAAGACACACACACATACATGTAACACCAACATCCATATGACACAAAAATAAACAAGATTAAAAAACGTGTCAATAATTATTAAGTCAGCACAGTAAACATGTGATGCTTACCGCATATTCTTGCAACTTGGCGCGAGCTTCAGGTAAGGTGGCGAACTTCAGGGGTTCAGAGAGGAAGTTACGCTGTCTCTCGACCCAACTGCGCAGGGAATTGTACAGCTGGATGAACAACTGCCAGGACTCGAGCGAATCGCCCACCTGAGCCTTCTTGTCCTCCAACCAGTTCCTGACCTGTTGAAGCTGCTCGGTGAGGGAGGCGACGGTGTTGGCCACAAGTTCCCTCTCACTCTGATTGCTGGTGCGTTGACAGATCATGTGGCCATGACGTGTCACGCGTTCCAGCTGGTCCGTTACACTACCAATCTCACAATGAATCTCCTGCAGGAACTCCTTCAGCTTGTGGGGGTCCACACTCTTGTCCTGCACCTTCGACTCAGCTGACTGAATCCACGCTTGCACCGACTCCACGTCTCGGTGATACTCGAAGCGAATGGTACGAGCCCGCTTCGCCTCCTGGTGTTCATCCTCCATCTTGGCTACTGCACTCTCTGCTTCTAACTCTAGATTGGACAGCTGGCGGAGGTGAGGCGGAGAGACAACATCATAAATAAACAGAAGTGAACAAATAACATATTTTTGCCACAAAGCCAAATCAAACATGAAAAACAAAAGTGAAATACATACATACATACCGTATAAGGAAACATTTTCGTGTATGAGTCACTAAGACGCAAGAGTGGTGACTCACCTGACTAGCAATTTCTTGTGGTAAAGATCGACCTTCAGTTATGTAGTGACTCTTGGTCTTGTTGATAAGATGCCTGGCTTCGCTGGCTGCTTGGTTGACTCGCAATCCAATACTCTGTCCAGAGACAACAAGCTTTCTGATATTGTCCTTCGTTAAAAAATATACATATATCTATATATTTATCTATCTACATGTATCACATTGGTTATCACTGGTTCAGTCCTGTTGTGGTTCTAGAGACAGGTGTTACCCCCACTATCATGGGGAGGCGTGGGGTGCCTGGTCACACTCAGCTGCTCTCTTAAAACAAAAAGGGGCTATCCATTCACTGGTTGTGGTATAATGACAGGCTAGGATGTTCATATCGCCAGGATAATATTCCCTGTCCTCTTCACAAGAGTTCACAACTCTGACTGGCTACATAGACGCCTGGACGCGCGCCACGAATCAGGGAGGAAAAAAGTGGAGGCGGTGGGGTAAGGAGAAGAGGAGTGGTGGAGGGGAGGGGAAGAGGGGGAGGAGGAGGGAAGGAGTGGTGGAGGGGAGGAGGAGGAGGGAAGGTGTGGTGGAGGGGGACGCACGTGGTACCAAACCCAGAGTATTTATAGTAGTGCATTTCCCCTCGTTTCCCTTGACTAAGAGTCGTGCACGGGATGGTGGCGAGTGCTTGCCTGTGAGGGAGTGCTAAGGTAAAGTAGGGAGTCAAGAGTTTGTTGAGGGTGTGATGCAACTCCCGTGGGCACCATCAACGGCGTCAGAGCCACAGGAGGCCAAGGGCAATGCGGGTGCCAGGGGGGGCGTGTGCCAAGTTTCTCCGCCAGTGGTCTAGATATAGCCCAGTCGCCCGTGCTGACGAGACCCGGGGCAAGGAGTGTTATAGCTGGGTGAGGGCTGCTGATGCTCCTCCTCCATGGTAATCAACCCCGTCACCACCAGCGACACTCTGAGACACACTGGGGCGCCGCCAACACCAGATAACAACCCGGTAACACATCATTAAAACGAACCACCTAATAATGAAACAAATATCACACGTAGAGTAGACACACCAGCTTATTTCACTTTAAGATTAATCACCCTAACATTAACCCAAACTACCCAGGTAGCTTTAGGATGTATAATCAGGTGAAATAAGCTGGGGGTCTAATCTTCAGGTGAACCAAAAAATAGTGATATAAATAATCTACACAAAAAAGGTAAAAACGCAGTCATTGCTCTACACTTGAACACCTGCCAGAGCCGCCCTACCAGGAACAATAACTTACCCACCTCAGCCTGGGCGTGAAGTATACTTATCTCTTACTGTGAGGTGTAGGGGGGGGGCTGTAAGATGGTGTGGGGAGGGTGTGGAGGAGGTTGTGGCAGGGATGATTGGAGGAGGGGGAGGTTGTTACTGGGAGGGAGTGAGTGGGGGTGCTGTGGCAAGGATTGGGGGTGTGGGGGCTCTGGCAGGTGGGGGAGGGGACGAAATGAGGGTAATAAGGGAGGGAGGGAGGGAGGGAGGGAGAACACCACCACCCTACCTGTAGCTTATCCTGGACGGCGGAATGGTCGTGGTGGTAGAGGTCTAGGGCGGCGATCTCGGTAGCAGCGTCGTGGAGTACCCTGGTCGCGTCGTCCAGTTGGGTCTGTAGATGATCCACGAAGGCCGCCTCGCCGCTCAGCCACGACAGTTTACCTCGGAGGCTTTCGACCAACCTACGAGGAGAGAGGAGAGCGGGGTGTAAACAAAAGCTCGACAAACACCTTAGTTCAGAATAATCAGTTTGTGGGGATTGGGTCTGTTAAAGCTAGGAGGGTAGTGTAAACAGACTACTCCATGTTTGTTTACTTGACAATCGATTAGGTTAAAGGCAAACAAACTGAAGAAGCAACAACTCGCAGGTATAAACAAGTCGTGCAAGTCAAACAAAGAACAACTTTTAACTTTACAAAAAATAGATAATAAAAATGTTTAATAACATCATTAATAATAGTAATGGCGCAATTTACTTCCATATTCCCGTTAAGTTATTCCCAGCAACAGAGAATCAACGTCGGTGTCAGGTGTGGTGAGGTGAGGTCACGGTAGACGAACACGACGCAAAAGCAGAGAAGTGATTAGGTTGGCAGCGCGACACGAGTAGAACAAGAACAGGTCAGCAATGGTGCAAAAACGCACTTGAGTTTGGCTGAGCCGTGTGTGTGTGTAAGGCACTGAACTCACTTTAAGCCATATCAGTTGCCAAAGAAATTTTTTTATTAATCCTTATAAGTCATCCACGTAAATAAACACACAATATATACCAGGTAAGAGTGTATTAATATACGAGTCATGTGGCTCACGTATGTTCATGAAATATTCAATAATAACAACAGGCAAGGGAGGTGGTGGTGTGTGGCGCCGCCAACAGAAAACTGGAATGAGACCCGTTTTCTTGAAGGCTGGAACAGAGGTGGCGGTGGTGGTGGCTGGTGGATTCGGGAATGCAACAATCCCCAATCTCCTGCCATCACGTGATAATGCAGCCACGTGGCGCCCTTCCACCACTAGCACCAGCCTAGTCTAGCCAAGCCTAGCTCGCCTCAACCACTAAATCCCTCCATCCTTAAAACCATCGTCGTCAAAACCACAACCCCCTCTCACCACCACCAACCTCACTCCCACACAATCCCCCCTCATCACCATCATCACTCCCACACCACACTCACTTACACCCCCCACCTCATCGCCAGCCGTCTTCACTCCACTCACGATATTACAAAACATGTTCCTCACTTAATTGCTGCTGAATTTCCACGATGTCATTTGTGTGTGTGTGTGTGTGTGTGTGTGTCAGGGTAACAGTATGGAGTTAAAGGGAGGAGGGAGGGAGTAAGGGAGGATTCAGACAGAAAGGAGGGAATGTTCGGGAAGAGTGAAGGGCGAGTTCAGAAGAAGGGGCCAGAGGGAGGGTTTAGAGTGGAGTGAGTTCAGAAAGAAAGGTAAACTCAGACAAAAAAAAAGAGAAGGAAAGGAAGGAAGGAAGGAGTTATAGTTCAGAAGGAAGGGAGAGAAGGTCAAAGCGGAGCGTGTGTGGAGGGAGAGAAGGAGGGAGGGAAGGGGGAGGGAGGGGAGGGAGGGTGGGAAGGAAGGGTGATAGGGTACGTTGCACAGCCGAGTATTGACGCGGAGGTGGTCAAGTCCAGCCTAGTCTACCGTCTGTACTTCCCCTTCTTCTTCCTCCTGTCAGTTTAGTGTCTCTTGTGTCACCAGCTGTCAGTCTTGGCGTGCCTCACCTACCTTACCTCGGCACAAACTACAAAGAGAATTACCTTGAATCTTAAAAATATAAAGACGTTTTAACATTATCATTCCTTAAAGATAAGTAAATATATCAAATGTAAGTTATTTCATCTCGTATGTAATGGTAAAAAAGCCTTATACTGTATAGAACAAAGTTATCCTAAGATCACTGTAAACTCGTAGAACCTGATAATCACCTTCAACCTGTTCAAAATTCAAGGAGGAGGCAGTGTTGCCAGGTGTGAGCAATGCACCAGTGTTACCAAGTGCGTCATGTTCTACAGCATGGACTGGTGGAGTATGTAACAGTATGGCCAGCGAGCCTTTGTGCCTTCCAGATATATTGTAGACGCCTCATACACGGTTGGTTGTGATTCTGAGTTTCAACTAATTTCCCATTTTGCAATTGATTAAAATATTATCACAGAAAAACATGGACTAGCGATATAACAACACTTCACTATCTAAACTAACAGTCGTGTTCACCTAACATGTTTCTGGACTTGTCGAAGTCAAATTATTTCCCTCTGTACACGATAGTTTTCAATTGGTCAGTTCGAAATATAAAACTGTCTTCAAAAGACCAGTTCTGGTACATGGTTTATTGTGAAAAATCTACAGGCCTAGGACGTTATACACGAGTGGGACTAGCAGTGTCTAGCTAATGCACTGTTGTCATTAACACGTGCATCACTGTTGCTATTTAATAGGAAATTATAAAATGGGCCAAAACACACGCCGGACGTGAGGCAGCTCCGCCCGGTGCGCTCTCAACTATTGATTCCGCCCACTATGGCCAAGGTCGGGGATTTAACACTTTTCAACTGCACCACAGACCCCCCTCAGTTATCTTATTTACAATTCCAGTTGAAGCATAGAAGACCTGTGTTTCTTGTACGCGTCCACCGAGGGCTAGCAGAGGGCGGGCAACAACAGCCTTCACAGTCAGACCGACGAGGTTTTGGCACGAGATCACAGATGGGTGGAAATAATTTTATATTTCCAGGGAAATACTACGTCTTACAACGTTCTCAATACGACGATTTGAACACAAAATCACAGTTCATATAGTGTCTGTATCTAAAAGTAAAAAATATCAACATTTAACACGCCATAGATAGCTCCCACAATCCTCAGCGTGAAGGAGGGGAGTTTTACTGAGGAATTACTGAGCCGCGGGTTACTGCCCGAACATGCTGGCTGTTCCTGCTCTCTGCTGTGGCTGCAAGAGATAATGCAGCACTAGAAGAAGAGGTCAGAGCAGAGGCAGCAGCGATGGAGCAGCTGTGGATGTGTTGGCAGGTGCAAGAGGTGTGTGGAGGACTCATGATTCCCACGGCGGCCGTCCAGTGTATGAGAGCTGGCTGGCTCACCCGGCCCGTCCAGCCCTGCACCCAGACACCACCGATTCCAGGGCTGCCAACACGCCTTTCCTCACCACGATTTTCACCCTTTATTCATACATTACCGACCTTGAACTAACTACCATCACCTCCTACATATGTTACTCTAGAGGTCCAAACGGTGGGGGAGATGTGACACTCTATACTATCACCGGGCATTGTATATGGGGCGACATTCTAGCATCTTCTGCCGGCATGTGACGTCATACCGGATCCTCGGGTACCATGACGCCATGCAATACAAACAAATTATTTCCACGGATACATAAAAAGAGCGACTAACAGCAACACCCTTATTAAAGAGAAGAAAATCTTGAAATTATAAGGTAGAACGACACGCTAAAGCATCAAGAGGAAGATAAAGGGGCGGCGAACACAAGAGCAAAGTCGGCAACGGAGAAGATTTTTGATTGATCCGCTGCCTTCATTTCGCATAGTGATTCGTTTACTCGATAACGGTACAAAGGTGGAGTGACATGGTGCGCAGGGTTAACCCACCACCTCAGGGATACGATACTGCGCCGCCACAACCCTGGTCCAGGACTATGAGTAAAATAACAGGGCGGAGGAGTCGCCCCTCAAACACAAGAGTCGAGCTTCCGTTTTCGCGAAAATGTCAAACTGCTAAAAAGAGAAGCCTCGTGACTCATCCTGTTCCCCCCTCACCCCCCTCTCTCTCCGTAGTAAGTTACCCCCTTACAACATTACATCTATGGATTCGCCTGATCCACTTTATCCTCCTCCACCTCTCCCCAAATGAAGCTTATCATTAAACATGGTATATACCCTGTGTGTGTGTGCGTGTGTGTGCTCTTGTACGAGGGAGGAAACCTAGTGAGGGGTAATGGGTGGTGTGTAGGGAGGGGGGGGGAGGGTGTCGGAGTCTGTCTGGAATCATGTGTCTGGATTCCTCCTCCCTCCCTCATACCTCTCCACCCCTCCCATCCTCCCTCACACCTCTCCACCCCTCCCTCCTCTCCACCACCTTCCTCCTTATCACCACACATCCCCACAATCAGCTTGATGTCGTGTGCCTTTCCCCAACATTGTGTTTACTCTCTCACTCACACACACACACACACACACACACACTTCATCTTTATCATCCCTTTTTTCTCAGCTCTTAATTGTTTTCTCTGCTCCTCACCATCATCATCACTACTACTACACCCCAACTTACACCACCATGACCACCCACGCCCCCCCACACCAGTAAACAGTGAACGCCGCAGCTCCTGAAATATTCCAGGTGTTAACTATAATCAACGTGCAAGTCTTCCCTCACTGGGTCACTGGTAAGTAAATTTGCTCACTTCATTAAAAAACAATCAAGTTACATTATTTCCCGTTAGTTTCATTTCTTCCCTCCTCACAAGATGTTAACTCCTACCTCTCTCTCCCACAGATAACTTCCCTCTTCTACAGGTAATTTCCCTCTCCTCCCACAGGTAACTTCCCTCCCTCTCCTCCCACAGGTAACTTCCCTCTCCTCCAGCAGGTAACTTACCTCCCTCTCCTCCCACAAGTAACTTCCCTCTCCTCCCACAGGTAACTTCACTCCCTCTCCTCCAGCAGGTAACTTCTCTCCCTCTCCTCCCACAGGTAACTTCCCTCTCCTCCAGCAGGTAACTTCTCTCCCTCTCCTCTCATAGGTAACTTTCCTCCCTCCCTTCCTGCCTGCCTAAAATAATAGTCTATCATTAAGTTCTTCCAGCCGTTTATTCCGTAGTTCACCTTCTTCCTGGATGAACCTGACTGACTGGCTGAGAGAAACAGTTTGATAGATAAGACATGATAGATAGATAAATAGATGCAGATGAATGATAGATAGATGGAGTATATTACACAGCGAGGTCTAATGGAGGAGGAGGAGGGAAGAGGAAGAAAAGGAGAAGGGAGAGGGAGTGAAAGAGTAGGAGAAAGAGGCAGAAGGCAAGGAACTCTCGAGAGAACAAGAGAGGAGGTTCTCGTGCGTGGCAAATCCTTCCAAGTGACTAGAGGTTCAGCCCTCGAGGAGTTACGTCACTTGA